CAACAAGAATTTTAAGCAAAAAAATCTTCATATTATTCTCAAAACTCAGGATCTCTAAAAAAACTCAAAATCTAGTTTTTCAGCACAGAGAATTCGAAAAGAAAAGCTTCTTTTGAGACACGTTTCCAAGCTGTCCACAACAGTATTCGTTTAGGAAATGGTAAAATACCTAATGAAGGATGTTCTTTAATATCGATTTAGTTCTGTCAAAAAATGTCATAGATAGATCGGAAACATCTCGTTTTGTAGATAGTCAGTTTCTCTAACCACTGTGTGTAATCAAAATATACTTTTTTCAGACTCTGTGTCCTAAAAAGCAAGTTTTTGGATCTTCTAGAGATCCTGCGTTTTGATAATATGATGAAAATTTTATTTTCCTCAAAACCATATTAAAAATAATTATTGCTATTCAAATTGTATTCCACAATATTTAGTTTGTTAAATTTTGTCCTTTCTGATGGTCAGAAGAATTCTAAGATATTTTGAAGGATATTTTATGAAATCTCGTAAATGCTCAATATTAGAACAGATTTTAAATGAATAACTGAAGAATCTTCATCTCTTAGAGTGAATTATAAGTTTTATTCACGCTAACCTCACATCTACCAGTGCTATTTCTGATTGGTAGGACAAGATAGCTTTTGTTGAGATTTAATTGGATTCACACATCTTGTGGTAAAATATTGTCTTAAACTCAAAATACACTTTTTCTTTAGATCTATTTTCGATACACCATCAAATGATAAATTATAAAAATATATTCAAGATAATTTTCTAATTTATATTTGGTTTCATAACAGTGCCAATGCTTGGCATATTAAATAACAGAAGGAACAAATATAAGGACTCCTACAGTATCTTATTAATAAGGCCATCAATGATATCGTATTGGATCGATGATAACATAATATACACTCCGTTTACGTCTCTCGTATTTTTCTTTGCAGATAGTATCTTTTGTAAAGAGCAGCAGGATCTTTGGTTTCATTAGTATTTTCTATCTGCCGAGGGTGTGGGTGTGGGTACGGAGGGTTTGGTGGAAAACGCCGAAAAGGAAAACATCGAAAAGGCAAAATGTCGAAAAAAAAGTAGGAAAATGCCGAAAAGGAAAATATAGAACATGAAAATATCGAAAGGAAAAATGTCGAAAGAAAAGATGTTGTAAAACATTTATTTGGATCATCTCATGTGTTATTGATTCTTGTCAAATCAGTTCATTTTCTTGAACTGTAGCATCCATCGTCATTTTTTGGGAAACAAACTCAACAATTCAATATAATTGCAATGATAGATGCTATATCCACATTCTCATCTTCACATTCTGATGCTCATGAGCATAGGTGCGGCATCCAGTGTTACAGTCACAATGAGTTATTGAATATTATTTCCGAAAAATGACGATAGATGCTACAGTTCAAGAAAATGAACTGATTTGACAAGAATCAATAAGACATGAGACGATCCAAATAAGTGTTTTACAACATCTTTTCTTTCGACATTTTTCCTTTCGATATTTTCACCTTCTATATTTTCCTTTTCGGCGTTTTCCGTCAATCCCGGTGTGGATGTGTGGGTGGGTGTGGTGTGGGTGTGAGTGCATGTGGGGTGTGGATGGGTAGATGAGTATGCTTTCTTCACAATACGCATATCCACACCCACATCACACCCACACCCCACACCCACACCCGCCCACACCCACACCCACACCTACGCTCACACCCACCCCCACACCTTACCCACACCCACACACCCACACCCACACCCACACTCCCACACCCACACCCATCCACACCCACCCACACCCACACCCAACTCTGAATTTATGAAAATATTTCTATATGGAGATCTGTAAAAAAAACAACGTTTACACAAAATACAGCGAAGTTATTTTTAGGGAAACTTGTTGCGCTTGTTTTTCAAAAATAAATTAGTAATGGCACGAATCCTATTAGGACTTTGATCTGTACTACAACCTCTGTCAATCAGCAAACTATGAGCTCAAATGGAAGGCTTTATTGCATCGAGTCCGTCACAAAATTCAACTTTCTCATACAGATAAATTAAATTAAGTTTTGAAGAATATTTTCAATTTAATTAATGCCTAATTTTATTTTATCATGAAGATACTAGTTCAATATTCAGTTTTACATGAGTCTTTCTCGATCAAAAGGATCAAATTTTGTATAAAAAAAAAACCGATAAAAGTGTATGCACATGATGGACAAATGAAAAATCTAATGATACGTTATGTACTGAATTTCGCCGATGTGCATAAATACATCATATTTGTTTGAGTTGAGGTCATTTTTTCACATTCACCTTTGTTACTTCTTAATAAATATAAATAAATAAAAAAACGTCATATAACATCATACACATACATGTAACACGAGAATCGACAGGATATACACAATTTTCATAGCAGCAATCGAAAATGAGTTCAGACAAATTTAATATACATCTCATATCATCACAATCTCATTCAACAGTGCAGCCTACTGATTCATCCACTGACTCATTTGGCATTTTGTCTGATGCTCCTACTCAATCAATAATTTATCAAAATGATACTAAAACAACTGCAACTTGTGTCGAAAGAAATGACTCTAATAATTGTGGTCGGTTCTTTGTAGATTGTTTAGAATGTTGTACAATTACTCCAGAATTTTTCTATTCTTGTTGTATATTCGTTCAACATTTAAGTGAATGTAAATGAGTAAAAATTGAAAAAATGTATTAGAAATCAATGATATGGATAAGCACATATTTACAACGTTTCTTGTACGATGAATATTGTTTGTAAAAATGGCCTATTTCAAAGGCAGAAAGAATTTTTTAATTTAAAAAGTATTAACTATTCCTTAGCATAATGATTGAAATGAAACATTTTTCAATCTCACAAATGTTGTCTTTACTCTCTTGTGACAATAGTTTTTTATTCTTTAATTATTTTCCGCTTCCTTGAATTAAAATAATAGTATTTCATATGCACATTTTGTAATAGAAGCAGAACACTTGAAAATATCGAACAGTTAGCACATCCACCGACTTGATATTCTTCAGTTTGAATGGGTATGAAAAAAATAGAGATTTTGCAATCATTCTGATTATGTCATGGTTCGTTTTCAATCATTGCCATTAAAACTTACTAGATATTTGTATATCTTCATATGATAGTTATAAATATCAACTTAAATTACTATGTTCACGATTCACCATCCATAAAAACGCAATTTAAATTAGTTATAAGGATTTTTGTCAATACTTGATTATTATAGCACACTGCACGTAAACTTTTACGACTGCAGAAAAGACGAAGGATGGGTACCCATACAGGTGTCGCTTTCATCCTCCACACTCACACTGAAACAGATATTTTATTCATTTTAATTTCCGAAACTTTGATTTAACTTTCTAAGAAAATAAATTGTCTGATTTTTGTTACATTGAGCGAGACATTATACATTAATGAAGAATGCCTACGTTCAAATGATCATTCATTTATTGAGAGTTCTTTTGTTGATTCTATTCACTGATGAATGACAAAATACCATTCAATTTGACAGAAATTCTCATCCAATTTCAAGACAACTGTTCTTGTTTCAATAAGATCATGCTTATAATAATCGTTATTGATATAAATTTTCCTTCCAATGATTATAAACTGACAGACTAAGAAGTTGAAAATGAATAAGCAATCGTTCTGCAAAAACGATCACAAATTCAGTTGCTCGAACAAGACAACAGTGTTGATTTGATAAAGCTGCCGTCTTTCGACTAATCAACTACGAGTGAATATTATTTCAATTAGTAATTTGTCTGATAGGTATCACTCGTTCTGAGGTTTGTGGAAATGCTTGAAACGCAAATACAGACACTATAGATACAATCATCGAAGGAATTCCATATCATTTTCAGTGTATGAATATTTTGGAGCCAATAATAGTAAGTATGAAACACATAATCACATGAGATTTAACACAGAAGGGTGTGGGTGGGCGTGGGGTGTGGGGTGGGTGGGCGGGGGGTATGGGGTATGGGCTTGGGTGGGTGGGCGTGGGTGTGGGGTGTGCGTGTGGGTGTAAGATGCAAAGAACACTCGCACCCACACCCATACCTACACCCCCACTCCCACCCACACCTATACCCACATCCCACACCTATACTTACCCACATGCATATCTACCCACCTCACCCTTATGAATCACGAGATTTCGTCATTCTAGTTTTTATTTTATTACACAGCATGACTTATACAGTGTAAAAGATTATGTTAAAATCTTCTCGTTTATGGCATTGAGATACACTCTCATCATATTTAATAATTATGTCCTTTAAAAGCTTCATTTGAAACAGGCATCATTGAATTACTTTCTTGATTGGTATTGTTATACAATCTGTGCCGATATATACGTCACGGCTCGCTGCTCGTATTGTTTTCTCTTTCCTCTTCTTCTCTCTATTGTTCTTCCTATGTTGTCCCTCTCTCTCTGTTTCTCTATCATATATAAGCGTGTGTTCTGTATGAAGTAGACACATTCTGGAGATGTAAAGTAGCGAATAAACATCATTACCGAGAGTGGCAGTAAGCTACTCCTCTAGTCTGTCATCTCACCTTCTTTTATTTATCATTACATCATTCATTGACTTTGAGTAACTTTTTGACGATTTCATTTTAATGAAAATCGTTTTCAAGGAATAGTTCTAGTTTATTTGTTTTTTTTCGTATAACAGTGACAAATATTCGATGAATTCAAAAACAAAAAGAAAAATACCCATTCGAACTTTGACACTTCGATCACAGAAAAAGAAAATAAAACTGATTGATGATAAGAACCAAGGAAAAAAACAAATCATCATACGATGTCACATAAACCTGTTTCTATTTAAAATACTTAGTTCTTAACAAAATGATTTTTACCATAGAATGCGTCTTTCTTGATTCATTTAACGATTTTTGTATTCTTTGAACGGAACCATAATTATTGTGATGTATCTTCTCATACCCATGATGTCCATCCTTCATAAAGTGTTGCTAAATTTTCGATATCTGTTGCTTCCCGAATTGTATAACGAACCTAAGAAATAAATTTATAAAATATATTGGATTGAAAGATTTTCTTTTCGTTTTTTTATACCTGTTCACTAATAGAACTTTGAGTTAATGGATCAGGATCAGAACCATCAAGTTTATCACGAATTCGTTTGCAGATTTCAACAGCATATTTATTTCGTTCTTCAGTAACTAAACAGAAGAATATGATTTTATTGAAAAAATACCAAATATAAATACCTCTTGTGATTTTGTCTGTATTTTCATGTTGTGCACTAGTGTTTACTGTTGATGAAATTGTTGTTTCTCGATTTTCTATTAAACATAAAATTATCTTAAATTTGATGTTGAAAAAAAAATCCATGCTTACCATTATCAATGGTCGGATTTAATTGAATTAAATCCTCAAAAACTCTTAAAAATTTCAAAATTTTAATTTTAATGAAAAGAATATTTTCTAGGATTTTGTTCTTTTCTTACTTCAGTTTAATTGTTAAAATTCGTTTTATTTTTGTTATAAGTACATCATATTTCATAGAACTATTTGTATCAATATGAAGTGTATGTTTAACAACAGTATGACATAATTCAAGAAATTCACGATGAATATTTGAATAATTTTGTAATGCACCATGTGGAATAATCTTGAAAATAAAAATTGCATTTTTTTTTGGAAATGTAATTAATAATAAAACTTACTTTTAGTAAACTTTTCAAAACAGATGATATATCTTTGAAGATAGTATTATGCTGAGACATATGTTCTTTTAATTCACTTATTAAATGACTCGTTTCATCCTGTTCAAAAGAAAATCAAAAATAGTTATTGAAAATCTAGATAGACTTTGAATCTGACGAGAAAGACTCTCTAACCGATTAGTCGCTTTTGAATTGAGACTATGTGTATTATGTAGATTATAAATATTCTTAAAAGAGTTGGTGCTTTTATCTTATTGTTGCCGCAATACTAGATCTTTACGGTTTTTTAAAGTCAGCACTGTGATACACCTAAAAAACAGTAGAAAAACTGATTTTCGACTTAAAAATTTACATAGAAACAGAGCCTAACGAAATTGTGAATGTTTCAAATGTTGTCACTGTCTCAAGATAGAAGCCAATCATAAGATATATACCTATGCAAAGTTTCAAGTTGAAGTTCAAAAATCAGTGGTTTTTTTACCATGACATTCACTTGAAAATATCGTAAAAATGCAATATTTCAGCACGAGTAAGCTGAAAGCTTGAGGTGTTCTCAAAGAAGTTTTGAAGTACAGGGATAGAAATTTAAACCCTTCCATACAGATCTGATAAACATAATAGCAACGAATCATCACAGACAGTTTGAGAACGACTCACTATCAAAGATGTGTGGGATCAGGACCCAGGAGAAGAGAATTTCCTGTGATTGGAACTATGAGGAAATATTTTTCTCAGTCGCAACTAAAGGTCATAGTCAAATATTCGATAGTTTTGAGTGAATTATCTAATAAATCACATGCATTAGAGCATAACTCAAAAATGATGACCTCCAAAAAATTGCCAATCGGCGAGATCGGGATTCAAAAAGCTAAAATTACCGAGATCGGTAGAAAAAAGTTACCGGAAGCGGCACCAAAAAAAAATAAAATTGGTTCCGCACATCTCTACTCATCATAGGTCATGACAGATATCGCTAATAGTGCGATCATAGATCATATATCAATAGCATCTTGTTATAATCTATGAGCTACTTCCTAATTGCATTTCTAGAAGATTAAACGAAAGAATGGTAAAAATCTATGTGCTAAAATACATAGAATAACACAATCTCCGTGAGATTAGCGATATCGTGTCTCAGATTTTAATCTAAAAGGATTACGCTAAGAGCTGGTTTGTTTTAGGAAATAAATCTTTCGATTTCTAGAACACGATTATCTTAAAGTTGATGTCTATTCATATGAATAAAATACATACACGACGATTTTCAAGTTCTCTTTCTTCTTTAATTCGATTTCGTTTATGTTTCAAACATTCATTTTCTGCTTGTTCGATTAATGATGGAAGATTTTGTAATGTTATTTGTTTTAAATTTTCAACAGGCTAAAGGAGAAAATTTTCAGTATTTTAAAAAAAAAGGAAAAGTCAGGATAGCTAAATTTACTGGAAATTCTAAAATTGCTTGTTCAACAATAGTAAAATTTGATTCAATATCATGTTTTAATTGACAAATTTCTAAACCTCTGAAAAAACAAAAATAAAATAAAATCAATAAGAATTTCGTTTTTTTTTTTTCATAATTTTGTACTTTTCTGCAAATGTTCTTGCATGAATAATTAAATCTCGTTGTAATTTTATTTGTTCTTCATATTGTTCAAAAAGAAGCCATGATTGAAGAATTTTAACAAGATGTGAACAAAGTTGTTTATCATTCTAAATAAGAAAAAATTGAATGAAGAAAAAAAAAAATAAAAAGATGTCTTTTTTTGTCTTTGTATACATCTATTTCATTAGCACGTTCTTTTTGTCGAATTTCAAATTTATCAAGTACATCTTGAACTAATGGATTAGCACCAGCAGCCCATCGTAATCGTTGAATAACTGTTTGTTCTAGATTACTCATTTTATCAATAATTGTTGTAGATGTACTATCATTAATAGATAATATATTTTGATCCTGTAATAATTAAAAAAAAATAGTAACTGATTTAATATTTGATAATGAGAAATGAAAAAAACTACCGTTGTTAATTCTTCACATATAGTTTGTCGTTGTTGATTTTTATTATTCGAATTAAGTAAATAAAAATTTTTCCAACGATATGCTATTAGCTGCATTTCATTTGTATGTTTACGTATTTGTAATATATCTAATGAAGTTTTTACATGTCTAGAAAAATAGTAAATCATATAAAATTTGTTTTAAATAATAATTTAAATTTCTTACTCAGCAGTATTCAAATTTTGCCAGATAGTATTGATTTCTACTAAGATATGTTGAAGTTCAGGTAATTGATTTGTTGGTGTTATCATGCAAAGATTATTAAGAAAATCTTGAAATTGATTTTCAGTTTGAATAAGATTATTTTCATGAATAGATTGAGATGACGGAATTAATGAAAAAATTAAATAACTTATTGCAAGAGAAGGTAAATCAACAAGCTAAAAAAATAACAAACAATTTATGATTTTATTAAGATATTATATAATCAATAAACATAGTTGTGACAGAAATATTTACGGTATCAATATATATAAGAAAAGGATTAGAAGTTTCTTGATTGTAACATTCGGAGAAATCGAAATCCTTATATAAAATAAAATTTCTATTGATATCGGCTATTTTATAATGAAGAAATTCAAACATATGCTTTATTTCGAGTTGTTTTCGATGTTCGAAATTCAGCTTTGTTAACAACTCATGATTGTGGTTTTTCTGTCGTCTGTTTGAGTAAAGAGACTATTATCTTGCGAGAGTAGTCTTCCGGTTAATTAATAACTTTTAAGTCATGACTATGCAACATCATGCAGATTCAAATTGAGCTATGAAAATCTTGAACAGAATTCGTATGCTTAACTTTTTAGATACTGCACTTTTATGGTGTTTTTAAATGAATGTTATGGTTACAAATAAACTAGTTTTCAAATTTCGAATTTCGACTTGAAAATTTGCACAAAGACAAGTCTTAACAAGAATAGTTTATTCTGAAAGCTTCTGCTCTTTTGATTTATTCCTTTTGTGAAATAAGAGCATAACACCTATTGATTTCTATAAGTGATGTAGAAGATACACTTTCACCATAGGTGTATCTTAAGATAGAAATAACGATAAGATTTGAAACTCTGATAATAAACTACTGTCCTTAAGATCAATGTCTATACAAAGTTGTAAGTCGAAATTTGAAAATTATTTTTCTTCATAACACTGAGCAAACCATGGTATTCATTTAAAAACTATCGTAGAGTACTATCTCAGCTGTAATAAACTAAGATCTAAATTGTCTTCAAAGTATTCATAGTTCATTTGGTTCTACTTAATCGACATAGTCTCGACTCAAAAGCGATTTCTTAGTCGGAGAATTTCCCTCATCAGATTTCCGTTTTGTGTACAAAGACTAAGAATAATTAATTGCATAATGAACCAGTAGATTAATACACAATTTTTCTCTCAGTTGTTGTTTTGAATGAAAACCTTAAAAAAGCATATTGTCATTAGCTGATTTACAAGGTAATCGATAATAATTCGAGAACTGCTCATGAGAAAACCCTTTCAGATGTCGAATTTCTTTTCGATTGAGATCGTGTTCATTTAGTGAGTAGTAGAAAAGTCTAGAATGGATTCATTTCTGAGATATCGAAGTTTTACTGCCTTTTACAACAAAAAGTTGTATAAAATTACGATATCTCAAGAACGAAGATCCGGAAAACGATATCATGAGAGGTTCCCTCATCAGTTCACAACAGTAGTTATCAGTACATATCTAACAGACAGAGACGCCTGTGATTTATGCAAGTGTGATAACAGAACTTTATCTTTATTAGTGAAGGCTGCTTCAATAATTTCCTACATCAAATAGACTTTTTGCCGTTTCCTAAACTATAGCTCTGAACAAAAAATCCTTCTCAGATCATGTTTTTCTAGCTTCTGGTTCCTTATCTAGGCTTAGATTATGGTGAGATCAAACTAATCTATCACAAAATATTCAATACTATAGTTAAGTAGCGTCAGAAATCAAAAATACTATTTTTGAAACATCTAATAGTTATTAAATCATATAATTGATAATCAGATTCTATTCGTTCGCTGTTCTTATTTTTAAAGCTATATAAAATCATATTGTCGATTTACTTACATATTGAACAATATAAAGAATAATAAATTGTTTAATTATATTACTAAGATCACTATCTTTTGTTATTTGTGTTTTAATATCTATCAAATAAACAAAATAAGATATTTGAAAAATTTTATTTGAAACTTTTCTTTTACTATCAAATGCTTGTGAATGATCAACAATCAATTGACACACTTGTCGCAGTGTTGCAATTTTACTCATAGCAAAAAAATTTGTTAAAAATTGTTGATGTACATCATTATCAATATTTGTCTAAAATAAATAATCGAACTAAAATTTTTTTTGGTTATCTTTCAAAAAATAACAAAAACCTGTTTCCAATCAAATAATGACGATTGTAACCAGACCGAAGGCATGTCCAATGTTTGAAAATGCGTATAAATATTATTTAATTCTTTATCAAGATCATCCAAAGAATTTGATAAATTTAAAAATGTATCAAATATTTCATTTGATGCTAAAACATGTATATATATATATAAGATACAAATAATCGAATGATTATTATATCATACCTGTTGTCCAAGATGAACGAAGTTGTTGATAAACTGTTTGACATGTATCATCAACTGATGTTGTTGACTATTGATGACAACAAAACAGTTGAAAATTTCTTTTCTTTTTTCTAATAAGCATATAACTTACATTTGGAGTTGTCATTGGCTGAATTTGTTTGAAAGCATTATTTAATAAATCCATACATAATGTAAGACTATTCTGTTTAGAACAAGCACCACGAATTAAGCATGAGATTGTAGTCAATTCGAAGTTGTTTAATATATTCTATTTAATTAAATGAAATATTTATTGAGAGAATTTTCACGAACATAATAGATTTAATTTCATTGTAAGAAAAAAAATCTTAGAGACTAGAGATGAGATTAGCTTAGTTCAATTTGAAACTTTTAAATAACTAGATGAATGCAATTCCAAAAGAAACGTGATGAATCGATTCTATGTCTAATAGAAACATGTTATGGGTAGTTCATTATAAACAAAGAATTTCTCATAAAGATTTTTAAGAAAATTTAAAATATGATACAAAGTTCTCCACGAATTTCTGTACCGTTTGATATATACATCCAAATTTTAGAAGAAATTTCTGAGAGAAAAAATTTTTGTCATGAAAAAAAATCTGAAAAAAACATTTTCTGGCACAATTACGTCATTATTCTTTTGATAATGTTTCTACGCTTCAATTTAATAGTCATATTATTTTGTTTTGAATTAAATTCTACACATGGCGGTATGGGAATAGACATGTTATAGACTAAGTCTTACTTTGAAAACCATGGTTTTCTGGAATGCATCACAAAATATCATTAGGTGTCGGTTCAAAATATTTTTCTAGTCAATAACAGCAACAGAAGCTGTGATAAGTTCTTAGAAGCAAAGCATATCTAATCTTCTATCAACTGACGTCAAATACAAAAACTTAAAAATCTCTTACCTTGTTTTGAATCTAAAGAAGAAACTCCTCCAAATGATTTATCATATCCGAGCCCAGACTATGTGCATTGTGCAAACCCAAAGAAACTATAAAAAGAGTTCGCACTCTTTTCATATTGCTGCAGAGATACTATCATGTTAATAGTATTTTTTAAATGAATCTCCTATTAATAGATAAACTGGTTTTCCAAATTTCGACTTGAAGTTTTTGCATAAAGACAGGCCTTCACGAGATTATCAAATTCTCAGCTTCTCCGATTCCCGTCTATTCTAAAATACAAGCATCAACTATACTTATTCATATGAGCAACGCTAAAGACATATTTTTATCACAGTTGTATCTTGAAATAGGAACAGAAACAAGATCCGTGGCATTTATAATCTTGTTACAGTCTACCTCTATACAAAGTTTCAAGTCGAAATTCGAAAAATCAATTTATCTGTAACTATGACATTCATTTAAAGAATAGCGGAAAAATGCAATATCTTCACAGCAATAAGTTGAAGGCGTGAACCCTTTTCATAATATCTATATAGTCTCGGATCAAAAACGATTTAAACAGTTGGATGACTATTCTCAAAAGATCATTCACGTAAATGAGTATTCAACAGGAAGTTGAGCATGACTAGGATGTGTAGAAGATTTCTTGGATTTTTCTTATTGTCTTTACTCTTTTCTTATGTTCAATTTTCTGACTGTGACAATTTTTACTTGTACGATAAACTTCCTATTTCATTCTTCGTAGAGAAACATCGACTTTCACAATAAATATAAGATTACAAACCTTTAACAAACGAAAGATATTATCTAAACTACCAATTAATTTGACTATTGAATCAATAAGTGAAGAATTCGATGACTAAAGCAAATAGAAGTATTGTTTTTCATATTGAATATCAATGTCAATTTGTTTACCATTGTTATACTATTTTGTTGAATAATTGAAGCAAAATAAGCAGTATTACTAATAAGTGTATAAGTTTCATTAATAAATGTTTCATTATTGACATCTGTTAATGATGAAAGATTGAAAATATTTCTTGCTCTATCACTCATTTGACGGCAATGTTGCCATCGATCAAATAACATAAGTAAAAGTATATTACGGTAATTTATATGTTCATTATGATCTAAATCTAATATTTAAAAAAAAACAAGTAGTTGATTAAATTGATAAATTTATATTTACTTTGAAGTTTTGTATCAAGTAAACTTTTATAATTCATATTATCTGTCGATGATTGATTAATAAATATTTGTAATTCAGACATCTATTTGAAATAAATTTGTTTTTTTTAATAAACGAAAACAGAAACAGTAAATTACTTTAGTTATTTCTTCATTTATAGTTTGAATATATTCATTAAATTGATTATCAAGTGATAAGGCTCGAATTATTAATTCTGAACGTATTGGAGATTTTTCATCCATTAAGAAATATGTATCGATATGATTTAAAAATTCTTGACATCTATTTAATAGAAAAAAATGTATATGTGTGAAAAAAAACACAAAAGAAATGTTACTTTTCTGTTGTAAAATTATTACAAAGTTCACCAAGACGATTTTTAAGTTTAGTTAATAAGGATGATTGAATATAGTCAATAGGTAAATATTGACAAAGATCAACAAGATTTTTTAAAATATTAGCAACTGTTGGTTGTCGTACAGTTCGATAAATTTTTAAAGCATTTCGTAATTCATCATCTAATTGCTCACTCTAGAAAAATAAAAATTATTATTTAATTAGGATATATGTATTCCGACAAGAGATGAATGATAGGATCTTCAGAGCATTCTCGCCTCTGTTTTTTTTTGATCATTTTTAGTTCTCGAAGAGAATATAATGGATTCACATGAATTTTGCACCATAGATAGAACACGTAGAATAATGACACATGTATTCGACGAAAAAAGTATAAGCAAAGTTAGTTTGAAAAAATTCTGGTGTTCATAGACCAGCTTATAATCCCCGTCCTATTTTGTCCCATCGGGTTAAAATTTCTACTAGAACACTCAGCAGTGCGGTTTTGTATCCGAACCTTAACGTATTCCTCTCATAAAGCAAAGAAAGTCGGAGTGTTGAAAAAGCTTAAAATTATCTTTGATATATACAAGATGCTGTGTTCTCATCCTTTTAAACTGATATTTTGATCATAAGTAGATTTTGGGAGCTGAGGAAAGCCTCCAAAAGATTTGTGTACATAGTAATTTCTTGCCAATTTTTCAATTGCTCAAGCATTTTTGATGAACATTAAAGTAGTAGTAAACACATTTTTATTACTAATAAAAGTTAAGAGATCGCAAATCTCTTTAAGAGCGAACATAATGATAAGTAAAATATGCCAAACTTTTTAACACCCCAATCTTAAGTAGTTCGCAGATGATAAATCCCAAAAAATTTTTTGATATTTTACCACGATTTTCTCACGGAATAAAGATATTTATCGTACGGTTGAATTTTTTGCACTTCGTTTCATATGAAAAGCATGAAAATTAACATTTTCTATTCTAGTGGAAATAGTACTGATGGAAAAGCATTGGAAAGTCTAGAATAATCTATTTATGATTAATTATACTCTCAAAAAATGTTTAGTCTCCTTCCTTTTAATAGTGATGAAAAATGTTTGCCATTTCTTTTCTGTGCATGGAGAATACTTAGACAATTCAACACTCGGCAAGGAACGCCTATACGCACATACATTTTGGAAGCTTTTAATAGCTTACCAAGGTCTACTTATGGGCAAACTATCAGCGCAAAACGACACTGACACCTGAGAGTGCCTCTTGGTTGTTTATCAATGAAATTAGCTGTCAAATTCGAACTGTACTCAATGGAGTCAGTTCATTGAGAAAGTATTCGAAGTTTCAATATCATCTATCATTAGATAGTAAGATTTTCAAATACAAGAGCTTTTCACTATGTGTATCTCAGAATAGGAAATACTAAAAATTTCCGAGCCTCGTTGCGAACTTTATTGGTGTAAACTGTGGATTCGAAACTTGATGTGAAACATCATCCGAGAGAAACTATGGAGAATTTTCTTAAACTTAGTTGAAATGGCTCTAATTGAAGAATTAGAACTGATCAACAAAAAATCTTTTAGGTTGATTTTCAGATTCGGTAGCAACCTGACAGACTCCATTTTGGGACTTTATATAGATTGGCTACAGTTCGGTGAAAGAACATCATGTAGACACTCGAGACGTCTCATTTTGTATTGTTAAATAAAATCATTTCCAAAAAGTTTCAACAAGATACTAGAAAACAGATGTAAGACGTCTTGATCTTCCAGACATTCTCATTCAAGCATTTTTATCGAAGGTTGTAGGTCTATCAATATCAACTTTGAAAGAGAATCGATTCAGGTACTCAAATACTTTTTCAAATTCTTTCTATTTATTATTATTGAGAAGATAACTCAAAAATACAGCTGCGTTTCAACTATTTAATTACCTGATGAAGAAGTGTTAATTTTCCTGCTGTTTGAAGAAAATCTGCAGCAAGAACCACAGGTGATGTACTAATCGAAATATTATCATTTTCAACAAAATCATGAAGTTTATTAGAAAATATTTTTGATTGTAAATCCACATGTGCTTCCTAAGACGAATAAAAAGTTACATAGTTCAATTAGAAAGCAAAAACAATTCTTTTATTCAATATCTTACACTACTATTTATTAAAATACATTCAAGATTTTGATAAAGTGTTAAAACTAAATCTTTTGCTGTATTCATATCTGTTCGTATTGTTTGTAATTTTTTTCGTCTAAATTAAATGTTTATAAAATAGTAAAAAATAAGAAAGAAATATTTTACCTATCAAGTAATGAAAATAATGAATGATTTGTTGATGAATTTTCTAATGCTGCTTTAAAATAATCTAAACGTCTTTCTATAATATTCATTTTTATATCATGTTCATTAATATTTTTTTCTAATTCATTTATATCATTAACACGTTGAATTAATTTATTCATTGTACGATTAATTGATTCACTAAAATATTTTTATTTCAAATATTTTTATTTCAAATTATTTTTTTTGTTTTTCTTTACCCTAATGTAATCCAATTCTGTCGTATTTCAATAGTACGAAGATGAAACATTCGTAATAGAGAATCTTTTTCAACTTGACGTTTTTTAATTGTTACGTGATCAAATAAATTACTTTGACCACCAAAAAAAGCAGCGAGTACACCTGTATCATGACCAGTCCAATCAATTAATGGATCATAAATAAACGATTCAAGTAAATTAAGTAAAATTTCTTTTCGATTACGTAATATTCTAAGAACATTTTCTGATGATAATGAAAAAACACCTTCAAGTCCAGCAATACCAAGTGCATTTTGTAAATTTTGTGTTAAACGATATGGAACTTTTTCTGGTACACGTAATTTTTTACCTTTTTCAAAACAAATATTATAATCAATATGAATTATCTAGACAAAATAATGATTCAAATTAAATAGATATTTTAAAAAAAAAAAAGAATTTTTTCTTCTTACTTGACCAGATTTTAAATCAACAAGAACATTATCAAGATGACGATCACCTAAACCAATCATATATCCAATCATTGATGTTACAGCTAATGAACGACTAAAATTTAAAACAGAATGTCTTTGAATATATAGTATGATCAATATTTATTTTGAGTAGGAACGATTGCATTCAAAAATTTTAACCATATGTCACCAAGATTGGAAAATATTTTTATACAAAAAAGATAATATCATGCTCAAAGACACTTTCTGTATACTCTATTTTTGTGAAACATGATCTAAAAGGAGTGTTGAAGTATAGATGCAGACATTCGGATCTCTTAGAATTCATGGCTAGTGCTAGGAGTAACTGTGAGAAAAAAAAAACTTGGTCGTAACGGACACTAATCGTGACAACCGTTGTTGATATACAATTATAGACTGTATGTAAATTACGTCTAGATATAGTATATGAACTAATAACTCATTATATTCACAGGTTCTGGATGTGTAGTATCAGTAGACTGTTCACCAAAAGCTCATACTAGTGTTTACTCACACACTGACTATAACAGATCGGTGTTCAATGATGTATATGACATATCTGGAGGTGCGCGGTTTTGGTGTAAACACTGAAACATTGATGAAACTAAAGCACAGATGTTTCCTACTAGAGATATGGCTAGTATAGTAATACAATTCAATGTCTCAGTGTGGTCACTGCTACAATAAACTCACTGTCGATGATTGGTAAAATCGAAGAGTCCATCTCTAGACCTATGTATACTGTATAGTTTTATTTTCCTGAAGGTGAATGTAAGACATTTTCTGTCTAAATATTCTTAAACAATGTCATACATTTAGTATTCTCAGATTTTTCTGTGTTAGAAGATCATTTCATATTGAAAAAAAATGCGTTTATCATCTATACATCGAAACATAATTTTACAGAAAATAAATATATACCTATAATTTTGAACATTTTTATACCATAGACCAACACTTGGACAACTACACCAAAGTTCACTAAGTATACAAAACGAAAATAAAATCCTAATAAAAACAAAGAAGAAAAAGCTAACCGTGATAAAAGATCTGCTGGTGTTTCACGTATTAATTCCTCAATACATTGACGTAATATTGGCATTGGTACTTCACGACGATCTTCTACTGGTTGTTTACCCTACATCCAAAATTAAATAAATAATCAAAAACAAAAAAGATAAAATTTATGTTTCTCTTTTACTTTTTCTTTTAATATAGCATTTAATTTTGAATAATAGACATCATTTGGTTTTTGTACTGTAGCTAAAGTAATTTCTTGATTTTCATTCTTAATTAAAAAAATATTTAAATAAAAACTTTTAATTTAGCAATATAAACTTAAAACATACTTGAGCTTTCCAAGTTTGTGCTGTTGCTTGTCGTTGTTGCCATCGTTTATAAAGTGTAAATAATGGTGTTGCACCTTCAACCCATTGTATTAAACCACTTCTTGATGCTAATGGTATAACAGTATAATTTCTAGCTTCATATGACCATGGTTCATTTCGATTTATTTTAGTAAACATAACATTTATTATTGATAATAATTGCATAATACGTTCATCTAAATGAAGATCTTCAAGACCTTTTAATAAATATTGATATCGACGACCATTTGATCCAACAAACATTAATTTTTTCGGACGAGTTTTTGTTGGTAATACTTGAACAGTTTGACCAACACTATGAATTGTATGAAACTATTCATAAATGAAAATGATTTGTCTATATACAAGAGAAAAAAAAAAACAAAACATTTTCTTCAAACCTGTCCATCTTCGCCTGGAATTGGTATAACACTATGTTTAATTTGTGCTAATTTTGGACTTATTTGACTCATAGCATGAATTGTACCTGATCGTTTACCAGTACGATGTAACATTGAATAAAGCTAATATGATTTGAATTTCAAAAACAAGAAATAAATGAGAAATATTAATTTAAGATTTATTATTTTTTTCTTGTACCTGTCGAAGTTGTAACCAACATGAATGTGGATTAGATAATATAATAGGTTGTTTTAATTGTTCAATAGCTGCATCAATTTGTTTACTATAATCTTTTTGAAATGTTTGTTCACGTGGTGTTTCAGCAGGTGAACGAGTTATTTGACTAACTGCTTCAAGAACGGTTATAAACTGAATAGAATTAAGAAAAACGTTGAAAAAAAAATTTAATTAAGATAAATATAAAAATTTACGGATTTAAATAAAACATCTTGTTTTTCTTTGATTAGATATTCTTTTTCTTCTTTGGTTAAATGTGTCATGGATTCTAGACGTTGAAGTTCATCTTTAAGTACATCGACACGTCTAAATAAAATAAAACGAATGTATATTATAAGTTATTTTTTATTGTACACTACATAAATATAACAAAATCTATGCCATGCAGCTGAAGATTTAAGTGTTACTACTGATTTGATAATTTTTTATATTGAATTTTGTTAAAGAAAAATTTGGATCGGAACTCGGTTTGACTCAGTCCTACAAAAAATATGGACTCCCACCTTCGTACTTACACACTAGAGATACAAAATTTATTAATTAGAGGGAAAATCTCATCCGAAGGTACAATATACAATGAAGTCTCATATGAATACAGCTTTTTTATATATTTCGACGTCAGAGTGACTCAATTAACAGTAAAAGATAAGAAAGAAGTTCAGAGTTTTAGAGTTATTCGATCCCTATGTCGAAAAAAAACAATCGAAAAATCAAGAATTCGATTTCAAACTTCACACGAACGAAATTCTTAACGAAATTAATTCCTTGAACAAACTGTAACTTTTCTAGCATCTCTTATCCTGAGATATTCAATATTCGAAATTCTCTCATGTGTAAAAGTAAATTTTGTTCATTTATTTCTATCTCTAGAAAAACAATACTAGTTGTACAATCAACGAATTTCATTAAGAATTTCGTTCGTGCAAAATTTGAAACTGAAACTCAAAAGTCGATTTACTATGTCATCACAACTTTTTGTTGAAAAGTTCAGTAAAGTTTTGATTTCTCGAGAATGACAGTCCCTAAAATCAAACCTTTTTATTACTCATCAAATGAGTGTTGCTTCTGTCGAAAAGTGATTTGGCGGCACCTCGAGAAGCTGTCTCGTCAACCCATTTTTCCCATTACCGATTGGTTTACGCTTAAATATGACTCGACTCTCCTACAGAAACATCATCAAAGAGTAGTTGGTCTCTTTATAACTTTGTTTCCGTTAACGTCCTGATTTTTTTCTGAGTGTATAATTTCTTTTCGAACTAACCGACTAATTTCTTCTTGAAGTTGTGCCATTGTTCCTAACCAAAGTTCATCCCATAGAACAGTAACACGTCGTAATTCATGTACAAATAATTTAACTTGTCCAACCACATGTGCATTTGTTTCCGAAAGTACATTATAGATTAATCTAAAACTATTTTGCATAGCTACAACATTTTCTTGTTGTTCAATATCATCATCTTCTTCCACATCTTCACCATCATCTTCTTCTTCTTCTTGTTCTTCATCGTCATCTTCAATATCATTTTGTGATCTTTCCTCATCTGATCCATGTGTACTCAATGATTTTCTTTGATAAATATTTTCATCTCGTGATTTAATACGTCTCATTTTTGAATCATCAGTTATTCCAACAATAACTGAATAAAGTATTAATTGTGGATAATCTTTTGCTATACGTATTAATAAATTTGTAACATAATCTCGAACAAAACTATCAGGATGATTTAAACGAGAAAATAATTGTGGTATAAGACGTTTCCATGCAACAGTTGGTACATTAACAAGATTTGTTTCAAATATAGTACGTAATTGTTGAGGATAACGTACAAGTACACGTAATAAACGTAATGTAACAAGAACATTGGATGCATCATCATTATTATTTGATTTTTTTTCATTTAAATTTCCATAAGTATTGCTATTACTTAATTGTAAATATGTAAAATAAACACGACAAGATTGTTCTAACAGAAAATAACGACGTAAATCAAATTGTGGATGTAATGCAAGTAATTGTTCAATTAACATTGGATATTTTGTAAGTAATGAACAAGCACGTGATAAATCTGTACGATACGAATGAAGTGATGATAATTCAGCAGCAGTCTAAATTTAAAAAAACAATTAGAAATAATATCTAGAGAGGAATATTAGTTTTACAAGTTCAGAATCATCATCATTTAAAATTCGAATTGAAGATAATATACGAGATATTTCAGTTATTTCATCGGATGTAACTTCCTAAAAAATAAATAAATAAATTATTAATAATCCTGTAAAAAGAATTTATTGATTTTAGACTTATTTGAAAATTGAAATCTTTCTTTGAAATTAATCTTTGATAAAGAACATTCAAGAAATCGAAAGAGATATTTCAATAGAGTCTATCAAATCAGTCATGAAATCGATCGAATCGTATTCAAGTGAACGTTTTAGCTTTTTTGACAGGCGAAAAACTAATAGATTTTTGTGACAAATGACAATTTTTTGAAAGTTTCATATGGAAAGGTAATTCTATTAAGTATTTCTACTGAAATTTCTCGATTCTCAAATTTTAGTTAATGATATTCTTTTATCTTTTATAAGTATATGTCTTTCATATTAATATTTGTTTCAGTATTCGAAGAAGCTAGAAATATCATGTTAGTATAAAAGATAGATAACGACTCTAGTCGAAGCATCGATTGACATATTTATCAAACAGCATTTTATCAGTTTAAACGAATTTTTTTGACGACTATATATTTTGACTATCGAAAAAAATATAGCTAGGTTTGCGAAGAACATGTATCTCTGCAATTCTAGATAAATCTCATTCTCTAGTCAAAACTTTGTAGTCGTCTTTGATGAAATTTTATGTTTAAACATAAAATCATATGAACGAACCGCTGGAAGGATTGCACGAACTTGTTGTCCCATATCCACTGAAGATAATCTAATAAAAACAAGAAAATTATCGAATAATATGAATACATTAATTATATACGGTATAGATCGAGCAAGTAATTGTCTTCCCCAAATATAAGACCAATCAGCAAATCTAAACCATGATTTAGCTAAAGATGGACAAGTTAATGTTGAAAAATCTAATAATTCTCCGATTAATAATTCATCAAGAGGAATATTTTTTCGAACAAAAGGTTCTAAAACAAAAACATATGATTAAAAATTTCTTTTGTTTTTATTTTAAAAACAAATCTACTAAAATAAACAAACCTCCAGCAATATCAATACCCAATCCAGTAAGAAGATATTGTTTTCGTAATTGAAATAATTTTCCTAGGGATACAACATTTGTTGTTGTTGTTTCATAATTACTTTCAATTGCACTACGTGACCATTTAGCAATATGTAGTAAATTTCTTGAACATTTTTCAATATTAATTAATGAACGTTGATTATTATATGATGGATTTACTTGACTTTCATTAATTAAATGTCGTAGAACAGATCGTGAAAGAAATTCAATAGCAATCGTTATATTTACATTATTAGCTTTATTTAATGATAGAGCATGCATTAATTTTCCTGTTTCAGTTTCAAGTTCAATAGAAACCATATGAGTATTTTGATAACGTTCAATCATTGTTACAAGTGAAGCAAGAGAATAGGTTTCAATTGATGATACATCAGAATGAAACGAACGTAATGGAGATCCTAATGAAGTATTACTAGATTGTGATGTTGGTGGACCTGTCGACCATGTATGAGTTGATTGAAATTGTTGAATGAGTAATTTTGAAGCTAATGTAAAATTATTTTGTTGACGAGCTAATCGTGCTGCACCCATTCGAAGAGCTGTCCAATTAGAATTTATAGCTGATGATGTGCCTAGAGATATACAAATTAATAAATTTTATCAAACTTTTCTAAAAGTCTGATAATCTAATTATTTAATCATATAGGACTCATTTCAGAGGAAAATTGACTTTCAAGTTTCAACTTCGAATTTAACAAAGAGATCGAACTTAATGAGAATAGCTAGTGGTGAAAGTTTTCGGTCTTTTGATTTTCTTCTATCCTAAAATACAAATATCAAGTCTACCAAATTACGTGAACAATATAACAGGCACACTATTATCATAGTTGTATTTTATGACAGAAATGCCGACAAGATCTGAAACACTCATAATCTTGTTAAGGCTTGTCGCTATGCAAAGTTTCAAGTCGAAGTTCGAAAACTAGTTTTTCTGGAAGATAACAGCATTAATTTTAAAAAACAAACGATAAAAGCACAATATCTCCGCAGCAATAAGCTAAGAGTTTGAATTCTTATCATGGTATTCATAGTTCATTAGATTTTACACAATGCACATAATTCAGATTGAAAAGCAGCTAATTAGTTGAAGGTCTTCTCTTCATAATCATTTTATAATTCTCAAACTATTTAAACATTCTGCTATTCAAGAAATCGAATAATACATTTGATATTTTATGTCTAAAAACTATTAAAATGACAATGATATATTTACTTTGATTATTAAAACTTGATTGACTGTAAAGAAGAATAGAATTCAATGCTCGTACACTGTGTTGAACAGGTGCAAATTTTTGACCAGGTAAAAGAGGAACTTCACGATTCTAAAAACAAAGGAACAAAACTTATCATAAAAATAAAATTCAATCTTATATTTGGCCTTACTTCACTTTGATATAAAGCTGCTACTTGACTAATAGCTGCTCTTTCTTCTGACCATGATGCATGTTCATCAACATTATGAATTCGTGTTAAATCTTGTGTTAATTGAAGTACTGCATTAAGTGACCAAAGACCCGATCTTTGAATAGAAAGGTACAAAATTTGATTTTAAATGATTTTTTTTTAATTACCTTCGTTTTGATACTCCTTTTAATGTTTCAACAGTTGCTAACATATCAAATGCTTCCATATCCCAACCACAAGAAATACTTCGACCAAGTTCTTCGCCAGTTGCTTGTGAATTAGGCATTTTTCTCATAGCTACTTTTAAACCTTCGAAATCTCGATTTTCAAAACAACTCATTGCTCTAACAAAAATTAATTTTAATTTTTTTCTTTTTTGGCAAAAAATAAAATTTTATTTCATACCGAATAGCATTTATATCGATAGTTGTTTCCATAGCTTTACGTAAATCATCATTATCATCTTGTAAAAAAGCCATTTGCATTTTAATACATGCATCATTCCATGCAATTAATTCAGGCCATTGATGTAGACTTAAATAGCAATCATAAACCTAATAAATAAATATATTGTTATTATTTTTTTTTCTCGTTTATGTTTATTTCAATTTACTTTTTGTGTTAAAAATTTTACAAGTCCAGCTGATATTTTATCATCTTTTGTTTCATTAGACAATGAAAGAGTTTTAAAATGTTCATTTAATAATAATTTATATTCATAAGCTGCTTGTTCAAGATTTCCAGCAGCTTCATGTTCACATGCTTGTATCCATGACCAATCAAGTTGATGAATATTTTTTAACCATATATAAATTCCATGAATAGCCATACTATTATGAAGTTTAATAAGGGATTGAACAAATGATATTATTACAAATTCAAATTCTGATGCCTTAATAAAAAAAACATAAATAAAAATATAATAATCAATAAACCATAATGAATCAGACTAGCTATAAATGCAATTTTTCAATCATTTGTTATTCATATAAAATATTCATTTATATATCACAAACTGTTAGTGCAATTATCGCAGAATTACAATGTAAAACAAAATGTAGCTGACCGTAGTAAGAATGTTTTATTTTTTTTCTACTTTCGAACACATTTCCTCATCATCTTTTTAATCAATTTTTACAAAGAACGTTTCTTTCTTAATCTCGAAGCAATCAACACACTGAGGTCCACTGTATATCCTTACTGGGGAACTGATAATAAACGAAACAAGTGGGATATTCCTACTGAGAAATTCATTAGGTTTTTAAGAAAATATGCTCGATAGAATAGTCTATTTTTCAAAATTTTAAGCGACAATATCATGTAAAAATTTAGGATACAATAAATAAAACAAAAACAATATTTTATTTCGATTTTAGGATCTGCTCGGTTTTTCGTGACTTTTGACGTAAACATGTTGCATTGTGATTTACCAGCGATATAGTTTAATAAAGAACGGAATTCTGCATTTTCTGATATCCCTATAAGGACTTTGCAACTGTACTGTAATTCAAACAAGAATTTCATTATTCTGAAAGTCCTCCAAAAAATCACCATGAAGAATATTTCTAACTCCTAAACTAAGTTTGGATATCCAAAAATGGATAGAACAAAGGTCTCTATATTTTTATATAATATTCTTTGCTTTCAAGATTCTCCATCCTTTTGTAAAGCACAAACAAAGAAGTGCTGCAGTGAGAGTATGCAGAATATAAATATTTGGATTGGTATGCCAAAGTAGAATATTCTTTTTAAAAACTGAAATTCTTAGTTTTATAAACCTTAAAATTTTCTATTGCGTTTACATTTAACTCGAATTCTTATGGTTCATTCGTTATTTAATTAAAATAATTTTACCTCAGCTTGACCTAATGAGCACACATGCATTAAATATTGATTACAATTTCGTACAGCTGATTCATATTGACCACTTCGTACAGCTGTTAAAATAATTGGTATACGAATACGATTAAGCCATTCAAAACATGTAGATTTATTTGTAATAAAAAAGAATTTAACAGTCTAAAAAACAACAAAAAAAATGATTCAAATCAAAAAAAAAAAAGAAAAAACTCAAATTTACTTTAGGTAGCTGTGGAAGTGAAAGAGCTGCTCCTTCATATGCATTGTACATACATTTTTCAAGTGCTTCAATTAATTGTAATAAAAGACCACAACGATGTAAATCACACCACCAATCACCTTTATCTGTTGAAACATTTATTTCACCGGATGATGATGATGTTAATGGAGGATTTGCTATTGATGATGGTGTTGAAGAACGATTCGTTTGTTCTGATGAAGATGCTTCTACTTTTTTCGTATTATTATCAATTGGCCAAGCAAAAAAACGTAAAGTTTCTAAACGACAAGGTGGTTTCTTATATTTCCGCCTATGTTCATTTCAAGGTTCAACAATAAAGATATTTTTGTTCTGTCAATCATAGCAAGATTTATCAATTATTTCATGAAATTACCAAAATACGTATCAGCCAAAAAAAAAACAACAAATGGAATCAGTTGGCACTGATTTCATCATTAATTATCATACGTTTCTTAAGTATTCCGAAAAATTGAATTATTCGATGTACATGTATCTCTAATCTAGGGATACAACGGTAACAGTAATCACCGATGCATTGGTCTACAAACACTTGCACAAAATAATGGTGAATGTATGATAAAACTATGGTGATCTTAGATTCGTTGAGAGGTCGGATAAGGTTTATTTCAAGAAAATAGCTAAATTTTTATAAAAAATGACCAAACCATGAGAACTAATCCTTTCTCGAACGAGACAATTAAACTCAAAAATTTTGACAAATCTTCTATAGATCCGAATTGCTGAATTTCAACAACTTCTAGTGTATTTTTATAAAACTCATCTAGTTTTTTTTTTTGAAATGGCCTTTCTAATCAACAAAAATCAAAATCAATCCAAGAGCATTCTAGTTTTATGATGTATTCACTCAACGGTGTCTAGAAGTCATCTAGATTGTTGTGGGAGCGACTATTGAGAATGTAGGATTCTCGACATTGGAGGAATCGATCTTTGTTGTAGGAATTACGAAGAAAAGAAAATGCAAGTTTTTCGGATTGAGAGCTCATGTCCCGATTGGGACACTCCCCGTCTACCGTTAGTCTATAGGCATATATTTGGATCAGTACAGAGCTGTACGTAAGACCGATGCACCGCTGTTAGCACAAATATTCGAAAATGTTTCCGAAACAGAAATAGATCCTTCTGCAAAATTTCCGACTTCGCTTTAACTTCTATGTTAAAACCGAATAATTTTCATAATCCTATTTCAATTGCTAGAGTCGATCCGAAAGAATAGTTCTTGCATTTAAACTTGATATATATCATTATACATATATACCTATCCGAGTAATATTAACTTCAATAAATTCAAGACTAATAATTAACTCACCTTCGAGTGCTAAAAATGTTTCTTGTGGTTTTCCAAGTGGTGTTTTCAATTTATTCATAACACAAAATTGTGCACATTCCCATATAGCCCAAAACCATATCTAAGATTGAAGAAAAAACAAAGTTTTTTTCCTATATATATATGAGCTTTCTATAAATCAAACCAATGCATCATTTCCAAAATTTGGTAATTGTTCATAACTTAATAAACGATGTTGATCTTCAGATAAATGTTCTTCTTTTGAAGATCCATTATTACTTTTACGTTGACATGATTGAAATAAACGTTCAAGCCACGTTGTTGCATACATTCGTCTAAGAACAAAAAAAATAAGAATTTAAATATTGAAAAAAAAACAACAAATCAATTGAACATACGGCATTTGATGATTAACAAGTATATAACCTAATATTAAATTAAAACAATTTGTCGTAAATGTTCCTAAATATGGAGTATTCATATGATTTCGTTTAACAATGCTAGCAAAACCAGAATAATCATTTTTTGATGATAATAATGTACCATGTGTTGGAAATTTACTAAAGAAATATTTATGAATACATTTATTAATTTGAATTCTTACTAACCTAGTTAAAATATTAACAGGTAAACAACATAAAATAGCATAATAACTATCATGAATTGAGGTTTCATTAGATTGTAACCAAAATCGACATAAATCAAATAAACTGAAAAAATAGATTATGTGTATTTAAAAAAAAATTTTTTTTTTGTTATAGATTAATCTTACCGAACTAAGAATGATACATCAAGATCACGTTGTCTTTTAACAATTTTATTTAATAACCGACAACATAAATTACAGATTTCTTCTTCATCCGAATAGGCTAAATAATTATTCAGAATTTGTTAATTTTATTATATGAATGTATTCGAAAGTTGCTTCTTCGAATTTTTTCTGTAAAATTTTTCAAGCACTCATGATGGAAGATTTTTTTTTGTTTCCTTCACCTCATGATGAAGCAAAGAATTTGTTTTTTACTTAAACACAGAGAAAATATCACACATAATGAGTGAACACCGTATTCCTGTTTCAACCATCTCAGGAAAATGATTTCGGCACCCGAATCATTAAATTACTTGCAGAAACTCCATTAAAAAACTCAGGAATCCTGCGGTTGATTCTGCTGACAGGTAGAAAAATCCGGCTATCAGATTTCTACTTCCAAGCTTCTACTATTTTCTGGAGTTTTTCGGATGAAGTCGACTATATACAGTTCATCTCAGTACCTTATGAGTGGTTTTTTTGTACAAAATTCGCAATATACTACATATGTCATGCATTTATTTGGTCAAATAAAATTTAAATAAATAGTATTATTTTATGTTACTTTTGAAGTCGGTCTAAGAGTATGCAAAGTCAAGGATGTTGAAATATCAGAAAATTTTTGTATGAAATTATTATCTGAGATAATTCCACAATACTTTTTTTTTTCTTTTTACCTATATCAATAATAGCATGAGAAAGTTTGAGTAAAAGTGGTAAAGATAGTAATCCATTATCTTCTTGTGGTAATGCATCAATAATTTCAGCAAGCCAATTTAATACTAATTTTCTAAATAACATATAGAGAAAAAAAAAGCACATTAGTTTGTTTATCTTTTTATCGATTCTTTTACTTTGTATCATGACAACTAAGATGACTATTAACAATGAGACGATGATGAAGTTTAAGTAAATCTTCAAAATTATCTTTTGTTAAACTTGTTAAATTCATCACATTATTTGTATCATTTTGTTTAAATAAATCTGAATTATGAATAAAATGTTCATGTCTAAAATAATCATAAAAGTTCATCTTATAAAACAAAAGATTCAATTATATTAAACTGTTTACTAACGCTGCACAATGTGAATAAAGAGTTTTCAGTACACCATAATGAACAGCTGGATATTGTCGAGCTAATTTTGAATTTGTTAATTGAAGATGTTTAGCAAGTAATTCAAAAAGTGGTGGAGAAAGTGCATACATCTACATTCAACATTTAATTGTTTAATAATGAGTTGTCCGAAAGTTTTAAGACAAAATATTCTTTCATTTTTCCATTGATTAAGAGAGCCAGACAAGATTTTAAGACATCAGACGTTTGTGCTTTTTCTCAATGTAGATTTAGAATTTTTATAGAATTCATAGGTCAGGATTTATACGCGAATCTTGGCATAGTATAAAAATGAACCAAACGTATCACGTTTGAAATTATTTCTATGAAATTTTTCAGCGGGTTTTTTCTTAGAACTTTCATATTTCTGTCGTAAAGACGTCGATTTCCGTAAGTTGCACTCTTCGTTTGATTGTATCATATTTTGAAAATTCTCTGAATTAGCATCTACACAATAGACGTCCTTCTTAGTAATAATGTCTGTTATTATATACGCTCTATGAGCGATTTTTCACACAGCACAAAGGGTAAGACTGTGTTCCACAAAGTGAACTGAATGATTGAGGCTCTAATAGCAATTCTCTAGTTTTATAAGTCTGGAAATTAAAGAACTGCGGAAATATCACTCAATGTCTTCCTAAAACTTTCATTGTTAATAAACGTGTTACAGAAAATTAATGATCAGAATATTATTATGTCGAGAAAGTATTTGTTCTTTGTTTTGATGTATTTGAAAGAAATTCCATTTCGACTGAAGATGTTTTTTTCAGACTGAAATTCGTCAAAATTTTTATTTTCGAGCATGTTAGAGATGTGCTTATAACTTGTAAACTAGATTCGGAACCAGCACAAAATTCTGTTACTATTTTTACTCATGAGAAAGCATCGTCCACTGTTGGATGCCGTTCAATCTGATATAATGACTAAAGTTAAATCTATGTGAGGCTAACAGCCACCAAAAATGATTCGAATCCATGTTCTATTGATGGAGAATTATGACTGTTTTACTGAACTCTTTTTTAGAGCAAGCCATTTCCGATGATGTTAACATGAAGAATTTTATTCTGAAATGTTGTCTGCCGATAGAGCTAATAATTATTAAAAACTGCTGAAGTTTCTCAAGAAAATGAGCATGTTACTCTCTAGATATTGAATTTTGAAGTGGATTTGACAATTGTGTCTTTCTATAGTAAGCTGCAGTGTTTTCAAAATTGAATATTTTAACAAAGTCATATTTATTTTCTTTGAAAAGTTACTAATCATTATTAGCTCTATCTGTACACGACATTTCAAGACAAAATTCATCGTTTGTATATTTTCTGAAATGCTCTATGCTAACAAAAGAATCCAGTAAAACAGCCAAAATTATTTATTATTAGACCATAGACCAAAATCATTTTAGTTTTTTCTTAATCTTACATAGATCTACTCGTAGTCAGTCATAAAATTAGATCCAACGACATACGACAGATAAGAATATTTTCTTAGTAATCAAAAGATGTTATCTCAAAACTTTCAGGCCACTCCTTAAAATAAATTCTTTTTGATAACTTACTCCAATTAAATTTCCTTTTACATTTCCAATTTGACATAAAGCACTACAATCAAAAATTAGTGCTGCTTCTGCATCATCTTCATTTAAATTACTTGTTAATGATGGTCCACTACCAATAATAATTGGTTTTTGTTCAAGAACATTTAGAAGTACATTAAAATTTGATGTCATATCAGCTAAAATAGCTTGATAAACTTGTTGAACAACTGGAATACTTTTTATTGTTAAAAGACGATTAAATAATTGTAAAACATCTTGAATAAGCTATTGCAATAAAAGAAACAGACAGTATAAATAATCATAATAATACTTGATTATTTTTTGGTTTACCGAATTTGAATATAAAAATCGATAAAGCCATATACGTGAATTTGCTACAAATATTGAACTAGCTAATGTTGCACATGAATCATGATCAGCTAAATCAATAACTTTCATTATTAAACGAAGTAAATTAGCATCAGCTTCATATTGCCAATCTTGTGTTTGAAGAAGTATTTGTTGAGTAATAAAATCAAATACATCTTTTTGAACTTGTTCATCAAATTGTGAAAATGTTTCTAATAAAATACAAACAGTTGTATTAGCATGTTTAGCTAAAATACCAAATAATTTATCTTGTTTAATTATAGTTGTTGTATGTAAAATTTTTTGTAACCAATTATCAACATAATCAATCGGAAGTAATGTTGGTGTTGAAGCAAAATTATCGGAAAGTGCACGAAGAACAGTAGCAAAAGCTCTAAATAAAAACACATTTAAAATAAAATTATGTTTAAACACAGACAAAGATTATAGCTCCGAAACTTCAATTAAAATAATTTTAATATTGTCTCACTTCTATTATTTGCCTTTGAATTAACAAGAAAAAAATAAGAACTATATTTTTCGAATTGTAATTATCAGTCGCATCTAAAGATGTACGAGATGAAGTTTTTTAGTTCGAGTATGACTTCAGCCATAGTTCTAATCTGGAGAAAACTATTTCAGAACGTATTCGAATTGTATTTAAAAAAATTCTTCAATATTCGGTTTCTAATTTATTTCGTCCACTAGTTGCACTTGTTTGGATCAGCTTTCCTGAATTATGTTCTGATTGATATAATTTATAAAATAATTCGTTTAAAACCATAGAATATTTAACTATTACCTTTACTTCCTGTTGGAATAACTTTTTTCTCGATATCATGAGACTGTAGCTACAATTTTTCCCGCATACCTCTAGTTGTATGAGTATATTGGGAAAAATAGAGAACAATATATTACTTTGTCGTCGTCATCTCCTGTGACTCTGATGCACTGTTATAGATGAATAGCTATCGTATACTTATGAAGGTTTTATTTACTTAGTAACCTCAAATGAATTATACTGGTCACTTTTGAATAAGAGATCTTTTCTCAGGAAGTACTCTATGAATAACAAAAAGAATACCACCTTCTTCTCTTATTATTTACCTATATAAAGCAGCAATTTTGTCTGTAAATGAAATCATATTATCATCATCATTTTGATCTTGATTTTCAAATTGCTGAAAAAGAAAAACAAAAACAAAAACAAATGAAATTATTAATATCTATTCATTTAGATCGATCGTTGTTTCTTTTTGTTTTCTTCATGTATTTACTTGAGCATAATTATCAGCATCTTCAATAAAATGATCTAATAAAGTTAATGTTGATTCAATTTGTTCAATCCAAAACGGACGAAATTTATGTAATGCTTGAGCTGTATATTCAAGAATACGATCAGTTGGTAATGGTTCAATATACCAACCGATAAGAATATCCACAATATCCTTTAAATAAAAGTCAAAGGAAAAAATAAATTATGCAAAAAGTATTTCTCTTGACAAAACATACAACAAATATTTCTTGAAATACTTGAGGATAAATTCTCGAAAGATCAATAATTGTATCCGTTACAGCAATCATTAATGGTGCATGAACAACTGATTCAAGAATTTTTTTTAATTGTTCACTTATATGTTGAATATGATCAGTTAAACATAATACTTCATGTTCATTTTGAATACTTTGACGAAATGCACTGACAAGTAATTGTTTTTGAACATCATTTTTTCGTACTTCATTTAAACGTTCAAATATCCATTCAGCAAATCTTTAACGAAAATAAAACAACTAGAATCTATAGTGAAAACCATATGATTTTATTCTACTTTGGATTGCCTTCATTTAACATAACATAACCTATTAATCCAATACAATGAGCAAGTTCAGATCGAATAGTTTCATGAGATCTTTAGAAAAAAAAAATCAATTCAATGAAAATATGTTTTGTTTTTGCTATTAAGCAAACCTCTCTTGAAACTGTTCGAATAATACATTGAGTGCTGGTTCAGCTAATTTCATAATAAACTGAATAATATAAAATTTATACTTTGTGAATATCAATTTAAAACAAAAAGAAGACTTTGATTACTTTACTACTATCAGATTTTTCAAGATAAGCTTGAAATTCTTGAATACGTTGAACACGTAAATCAAATGATCGTTCATCACGTAGAACTTTTTTTAATAAACGTGCACATTTTGAATCATCATCAAAGATTTTTTGTAAATCTTCAGACATTCCTTCCATATTGTCATCATCAACAGGATTACCCGATTGTGATCGAGAATTATTTCCATGTGATTGACGCATGGAATCATAATAACGATTATTACGAGACGAATAAGATGACATTCTATTTTTAAAACATCTAGATGAAGAGAAAAAAAATATTTGTGCAATTCTTTGTATATAGATTTATCGATGTGTCTATAAAAATGTTTAGTTTTTTGCACTGATGAATATATTTTATTTCGTAAGATGAATTAATATCTAAGCTTTTTTCTTCTTTACAGCTATCTAGCTGTCTAGTAGCGAGAGGAACCAATCGAACACTATCAATGGATCTTTATACTGATGTTGATACTATTCGGTAGATAGCGCAATGTATCGGTTAAGATATTATTAAAAGCTTTTCTTAGTTTTTTATTTTCCATAACATGAAGTCAATTCTTTTCGTTCGATTAGATAGATCACTAGATTCATGTGTACTAGGGCATTACTAATGTAATTTAATAAGCGTGCGGTGAATTAAGAATAAGCTAATGGTTTTAATGCATTTGATTGGTATTATTCATTTCAACTTAAAAAAAAGTTTCATCAAAAAAAAAAGAAGACTGAAACGTATATTTCGATTTGAACGAAAGTTTTGATAACGTTATTGGCAATTTTGTAAAACATTTAACACTAAAAAGTCTGTTGCATGCATAAAAAGTAGAATGCCTTGTTTATAACCCATGTTGACTGGTACTCCTACCTATATTTTTATCGTGCCTTTGTCATATACGGTCATTTGGTACCGCTGCAAGGATGCTAGATCTTTCGATATGGCAAAAAAAATTCTGACATTTTTACCTTTTCTGACCTCTCTCTGAGATTTTGTATCTGTTACCAGATTCTAGTTGTTTTCAAGTATTTAGTTTAACTGTAACTTACTGTTACTTGTATTCTGTGCAGATATTCCTATAAATAGTTTTTGTTTCAAACAGATTTATTATAGCGAGTTTGAAGAAAGGAATACATGTATATTATGAAATATTTTCTAAGATAATGAATAATCTCTATACAATATGTCTTAGCAAAATATTAAGACACTTATTATTTAGTTCTGGAACACTTTTTTCGAATTAGAACATGTTACAAAATCTGCATGATGTTATGTTTTTATATTTGTTTTTTTCAGATGATGTCTAGACTCTTTCTTCAGACTCTATAGACATTTTTGAGTGCTAAAATAATGACTTTTTACAAATGAAAATCTACTTTTTAGATGATGTTCTGTACTCGAGAAAACTCTGAATGGGTTTTAACTTTCACATTCGGGCTATAATTCAAATAAATGTCTACAAATTTGTTCATTTCACGACTTTGTATCATATAGTCGAAACCTATAGAAAATGAGATAAAACCATATTGTCAACAATAGAGATTTCTATGAGCTTTTCAATAAAAAAATTATGCAAGATTGAGTAATACACGGTTTTTGAAGAAACTGCTCATTCTATAATTTAATATTAGGGCTATTTATTTTCTCTTGAATCTACTGTAGTTATAAATTAAGCTATAGAAATTGTTCATATTTTCTTGTAAAAATTTATTTCTTAGTACTTGTTAAAAAAAACCATTCAAAACGATTGTTTTATGCAGATCTTAAGACGTACGTTTCGATTGCAAAAGCATTTTTACCAAAAGAGTAATATGTGTTTTAACGTTGTAACCAAACTTATTATAATCATAATTAAATATTGATAAAAATGTATTTCGAATATATTTTAAGAAACATTTCATGTTCGTCGAAGTATTTTATTTCAACAAAAAAAAATACAGAATCCAATATAAGACATATGTCGATTTATATGAACAAGCACATATACATTTTTACAGTTTAATATCATCAAAATATATTTTACAATCTCATAATTTTATTTGTAATAATCGTTCAATTTCATTTTGATTATTTTCATTGGTTTTCAATAGTTGTTGTGAATAAAAATGACGAAAATTATCTTTTAATTCATTTAAAAAAACTTGACTAACAATATCTATTATATCAGACCATGTTTTTTGTTGATTTGATATCCAATAAAAATGAAATACATCATGTTCAAGTAATTGTAATTGTTTAAGTGTCGGTAAATTTTTATTATTTTCATCTGATATAAGATGAAGAAATTGAGTAGCATATTCTAATATATTATATTTAGTTCGATCGAGTTGTTTACATTTTTCTTCAAATGTTAATGAAGTTTTTGTTCGTTTATGATTCGTTGATATATCTTTTGTTTTTCGTTTCGATGGACAAGTCTTTATAAAACAGAAAAATAATTAATTTAAAATATTCTTTTTCATTATTCAAACATACTTTTGTGGTGTCTAGAAAAGAATCAATAGCCCAATCAATACATTGAGACCATTTTTCTAATTCATTTTTTTTATTTGATGGATACCGTTCAAGCCATTTTTGTTTTATCCATAATAAATGAATTGGACGTGCATAATAAATACATATTTCATTATCATTCCATTCTGATGATAAATCTTGTTTAGCTGAAACAATACGTTTAATATCATCTTTTGGTATAATAAGACGAAAAAGTGAACAAATAAATTGTTTTTCATCATTTGAACGATTATTTTTATTCAGATGATCAATATTTATTCCACGATATTTTGTTAATGATGTATCTGTTGAAAAATGTTTTTCACATTGTGTATATAAATGATGTTGTTCATTATCATCAAGATTTTTATTACGTTCATTAAGTATAAGTTTAATAATAAAATCAAGTAAAAGACGTTTATTTCGAGGATATGGTAATTTTCCATTAATTCCATCATAATTACAACAAATTCGTTCTTCTTGATTGAAGATTTTTGAATAAGCTTTAAGCATAAGATTATCTAAATTTTCTATTGAACGAAGACTACGAATAAGTGAAATAAGATTTGGTTGAATTGAATCATGAAGAAGAGGATAATTAGGTAGAAGTTGTTTTGGTGTTAATCGATTTTGAATAATGTCATCTAATGTAATTGATGATAATGAATAAATTTTTTTAGATGGTGAACTGTTTGAATCAGTTCTAAAGAAAAAAAAATATAGACAATAGAAAACTATATGAAGTTTTCGAAATCAAATTCGAGTTTAAAAAAACATAAAAATGCATAGTCAATTTAATGTGTTTAAGAAATTCTTTTAAATGTATACTCTCAATTTAACTATGCATTGAACTAATGTATTCTAAACTGCTTTTACATGAAGAGAGATATTATAAAGATGATTTGTCTAACAAAAACAAAAATACTCAAAATGAGAAATTCAATGGAATGTTTTCAATCTAAATATGATCAAATCTTCTATTACTTCTTATTATATTGGATTACATACAAAATCAGAATAGACCAATATACTCATGATCGAGTTATTTATAAAACAGAAATCGTAGTCATGTCAATGAGATCGACTTGCATTATTATTATCTCTTCAAAATCAAACAGGAATTGGATGCAGAAAAAAATTTACTGTAGTCAATTTAATTAAAGTTTTATATGGAGTTAATTAGAAACTATTTTCATTTTACTTGTCATCTTCATTATTTTGTGATGCATCCGCTATCAATGACGTTGATATGAGTTGTTCACTTGATTCTGTTAAATTTTCTTTAGATGATTCTACAATAAACGAAACAGATGTTACAAATTTAAGATTTTTTTTTTTTTGTTCAATTATCGAATATTTTTACTTTGAAAAAAACCATCTGTTGATAAATTGAATGTATTGGAAAGATTAAGAATTAATTTTTGTGCTTGTGCTAAGAATGTTGTTGTTTGAGTAACTAATTCTTCTCGATGTATTCCATTTAAAGATAACTCTGTATCATTATTTTTCTTTACAAATGCATTAACAAGTAATTTAGCTGTTGTTTCAATGGCTGTTAAATTATCAAGAATACTTTGACGATCAATTGAATTATTCATTTGTATATCGAATCCAAAAAGAAAAACAAATTTTCCAAGTTTAATCTATACATTTACTGATTAAAACAAAGAACTCGAAGTAAAACAACAAGTGTCATCTTTATTTATTTATGATTGGTGAATTAAAAGCAATAGAGGTTTTTTTTTATCGATGAAAAAAAAATAAAAAATTATACACGCTTCAAATCAATATAGAAATAAATAACTAATAGAAAAAGAAAAATAATTACATAAATCGATTAATCAAAAAAAAAACAAATTTTTTTCGTTTATTTTTTGTTCTTTGATTTTTACAATCATTTTACTGCTTTTTTCGTTTTATTTAAATGAAAGACATTGTTCACAGGAGAAAAAATAAATTAAAATTAAATAAAACAACATCACTGTTGAGACACATAAAAATAACCAACACAATAAATTTTTAATTAACGAGAATAAAAAAAAAAAAAAGAAATTCAAGTTTGTTTAATTTGTTGAAATAACCATAGTTGACAAAATTATTGTCTATTACTTATTTGATCATCATCGAGATTTTCTAATACAACATATTCAACATTAACATGTTGATTTATCGTCGATTTTGAAGAAAAACACAAAATATTAAATTGTCGTATAAAAAACATTATAAAACAAATACTCCAAAGTATTAAAATAAGAATTAATATAATCAAAACAATAGTTTGATGAGAACCATCTAATTTGGAAAATTTATCACGAATTTGATCTATTGGGGATTTATACCACCAACTTGAAGAAGTCGGCGGAGTTACAAGTGGATGAAGACAGAAACCTTTAAAAAAGAAATTTAAAAAGAAAAATGAATGAAATCTTCTATTTCTTACCATCCCATATTAATGGACATTGACAACAATCATCAGTGGTAATATTTGATGTACAACAAGATAAACATTTATGAGTAGAAATATCAAGTGACATTGGATAAGAACATTGACGACAATACGAACCAGGATGTAAACATTCAAGGCAATTGTCTGTACATAATTTGCATATCTTTAATAAAGAAAATTTTTATTCCTTTTTTTTTTTAAATTTATGTTTAGTAAATTATAAGAGCTTTGACGAAAGTCTTTTCATATAATTATGATTAATATTCTATGCTAAATATGAAATCATGCTTTGATGGTTGTCAATAAAATGTATATCTTACGAGAAAATTAATAGCTTAGGAGTTCGAACTATGTGTATTATGTACATCCAAATGAACTATGAATTTGCTGAAAAGAGTTTAGGTTCTTCTCAGGAACATTAGAAAATTTCGTTTCGAATTTTTATTTGAAATTTAGCACAGAAACAGATCTTAACGAGGACAGGTCATTGTGGAAGTTTTAGATCTTTTGATTTGCTCTTTTTCTGCAATCAGAACACTAAATTTGTTGATGTGTATGAGAGAATCAAAAGACAAGCTTTTATCATAGTTATTTTTTAGGATAGAAACAACGAAATTATCTAAGAAACCTTCACAATAAAATATTCGCAATGAGCTCAGTCGCTATGAAAGTTTTAAGCCAAAATTTGGAAATGAGTTGTCCTTGTGTTTCTGAAAGGAGTCAAGGTATTAACTAAAAGAATACCGTAAAAAATGCACTATATGAGCAACAATAAGTTAAGGATTTCAACGAAGTATATCATCTCGATTCAAATGCAATTAATCGCTGATGTGATTATCATTTTCGTAAGGTTTTACAGGTACGCAATAAAAAATATCAGAAGTAAAGTCGTATCTGACTATTTCTTTCGTAGTATTCTCGAGATGTCATCAGTCTATTCAGTAAATATCTGAGAATAATATTCATAATTTAAGAAAATGTCGAATGTTCTACGAAATGTTTTTCATCAACAATTTTATTCATTATGACTGACGACAAACATAGACTGTAATACCAATCTATTCAGTTATCAGATCTTGTTTAGATATTCAATATTCACTAATCATAGTGAATATAATATATTGGTGAAGCGAGAAAAAGTTTGAAGACGGGGAGGTATAATATATTCTTCCGATGTTAGTTACTGATCGATCAGATCCTGAGAGCGCTGGTCTTTGCCATTAGTTGTACATATAGAAAAAAAAAAAACAACTTTTTATGCACTTCTTAACGTATTTTCTATAAAAGCTGAAATTTTCATCTCTCATAGTTAAAATATCAACGAATTTTAATGCTTAATAAATATCTGTCATCTTCCTTGTGCTTGACTTTCTGCCTTTAATTTTTTAGCATTTTACTTTTTTATAACTATAGTTTGATAGATCTTGTAAATGCAAACGATGAGACAAGTAAAATAGAATAAGAGGGAGAGATATAAAGTGAGGAGAAACGAAGAAGAACGAATATGAAATAAAAAAACAGAAATCATTGAAAAAGAAATAAAAATTGCCAAAAAAAAAATGATTAGCATAAAACATTGAATAAAAAAAGACAAAGAACTATTTTCTCTATAACTTTACGTTTTATGCTACATTACATTGCTTTTAGCTTGATAGATGAGACCCCTGTATTTGTTTTTTATTTATTCTTTGAAAAAAAAAATGTTTCTGGAAAATTCCGAAGTACTGACATCTCATTCATATCATAATAAAGAACGAGAAGAAAAGAAGAATAACCCTGTCTTTCAGCTAGCTCGCGGTGTAAGATGTTGCATAGAAGCAGTTTCAATTAGACCTATATCTTCTCTACAACAATGGCTTACTTGAGCTTCTCATACACATTAACTAACTGTAAGAGTAGAGGTATGTCACAAAATAGTCAGCACACTATCAAATGGATGACCTGAGACAAATAGCTGTTAGTAATTTGTTCTGAATCATTTGATGACTGGTGATACCGAGGTTTGCACACCGTACTTTACAGATACGTGTCGAACAATGTAGCTATGCAGATATAGGGGCTTACTAGGAGATCGGACTGGAGCAAGAAGCAGAGAAATGTCAACTAAAAGCCCTTACAATTATGATCATATAGTCTACGAATCTTTTAGAAATTATCTATATTTAATATAACAATATTATTTCTCCGTTTATTTGATTGTTATTTTTTTTTTATGAAGATATCAAAAATAACTGAGACTCAATTTCAATACAAACTCTCACTTCGAAGCAATCGTTTGATGAGCATCAGAAAAAAAATGCAGCACTGCTTCGCTTTGTTAGTTACTTACATTATCATCTTTATTGTAAAAATTTCCATTTGGACATAAACTCAAACATTGCTTTTGCTGTTCATCAAAACGAAATCCATCTGCACATGATTTACAATCATCTTCTGATGAACCTTAAAAACAAAACAAAACAAATACTTTTATATTTTTTCTTACCACAAAAAAAAATCTATTTTTACCTGTACATGTACGACACATTGGATTACATTGAATACATTTGTTATTATTTGAATAATAACCATCTGGACATTTATCAACACACTGATCATTTAATAAATTTAAGTTATTATTACATGATAAACAACTTGTTAAATTCATGCATGTCACACACGGATCTTGACATGGTCGACAATGATTATCCATTTGAAAAGTACTATAAAATAGGTTTTAAAAAAAATGTAAAATCAATATACTTTTAACAAATAATGCAAAAGTCTTTCGCAAAATGTTCAGCAGTATCTCAGACTGATGGACACATTTTCATGTGAACATTTTTTTTTTATCAACCAATAGGTTGCTCACTTCTCTTTCCAACAATGTATGATAAAATAATTATATTTCATTCATAAAGAAAAGCAGTACCAGCATAATGTGTTTATAACTTCTACTGTGATCCCTCTAATAATTCTATAAAAATTACGATAAATTATTTCAACAACCAAAACGTTCTACTTAATATTTAAAATTTGAAACCACAAAATATCACTCTCGAAGTAGTCGTTTGGTCAAAGTATCCAATACGAATTCGAATAATATTGTTAAATTCGTAAACAAATCGGTGCAGTCTAAGTCAGCGTAAAATAGCACGACAGTTTTCAATGCACCAGTCAATAATTTCACGTATTCTTCGAAGATGATCATCAGTTGTTATAAGAAAACGTCGAAAATTCAGAAAATTGAGAGTGATCAGTAACAAATTCAAGTTCGACCAGAATTCTGACAAAGTATATCGCAAATTGTTACATGACTGTGATGGAATTATGAAAGAGGAAAAATACTTCAATTTGACGAAAACTAATGTCACAGAGAGTGGCTATTTCTATTCAATCGTTTCAGCTACAACTCTTGCAAAAATCAAGTTTCAAAAGAAAGTGAAATTCGAATAAAAAATAATGATTTAGATGGCTATGTCATTGAAAAGATTTTTGAATGTTTATGTTACACAAAAGCAAACAAGCAGTCGATCAAGAAATATATATAAAAGTAAATATTAATAAACGACTGTTGTCTATTGTTGATAAATATCATGTCGATAGAAATTATCTGTTCTGGCTCGATTTATCAAGGGCACACTATTCAAATATTGCTCAAGAACATTTGAATAAGAAAAATATACCATTGATTTCTCGTTCTGACAATCCACACAACGTATCACAAGCTCGTCTCATTGAAAGTGTATGGACTCGACTTGAACGAAAAATATATGAAAAAAATTATTCTGGTCGAAGAATACGGTGCGTATATATACGTAGCTGTATCTCTTCGTAAATACAGAGCCAGTTATAGGACCGTATTTATGATAGAATAAGACAAAATTGCTGCTTTTTATGGGGATCCATAATGGTTAACACGGGTTGAAGCAAATAATGTTGATTATTTAAAGGATAAAAGAACTTGATCGAGAAATGATGCAAGCCATGATGGAGACTATTCGAAAGAAACTTTGAGCGATGTAGTGAGATGGACGGTATTCAGTTCTCTAAATATAGATTTTTCAAAGACTTGCCATGCTCTTTCTAATAGAAAAAAAATTAGTTTTTCATCTTTAAAAATGGTTGAACTGTGTAAATCAGCATTTTTCCGAAGACTTTTGTATTCGTTATTACTATTACTATTATTATTATTTCATTTTACCCCGATTGACATGTTGGTAAACATTTTCGACCGTCTATATGATATCCTTTGATTTCATCACATTGACTGCAATCATTTGCATTAGTACACAGTTTACATCCAATTGGACATGGTAAACAAATATTTGTTTGAATTTCATTTGTCTTCTTTTCACTTTCATATGAACCTGCTGGACATTCATTAACACAATGTCCATCACTAAGAAGTACTTCTGTTATTGGATTACAAGCAATACAATCAGTTGGATTTGCTCCTTTACATAGTGTACATGATGAATGGCATGTACGCATTTCACCTGTTTTACTATCAATATAATATGGTTTACCAATATGTTTTTCACAACGATGAGTATCAGGAATATAATCATAACCTATTTTACATGCCAAACATGATGAGTCATTTGATGATGTACAATTAAGACATGTTTCATGACATGAAAGACATTCAGAATTGCTTTTTGAAAGATAAAATCCTGGTGAACATGATGAAACACATGTATGATATTGAAGATAAGGAAATTTGCTTGTTTTATCACATGAAGTACATTGATAAGATTCATGTCCACTACAATTTGAACATCGAAAATCACACCATCGACAACTGAAAAAAAATGTATGTTATTATTTTAAATGAATATTTAATAACAATAAATATAGATTTACGTATTTGTAGTAAAATCAAAGTATTCACTAGATGGACATTCTTGTGCTGCTTTTATACAATCTGTATCTTTAAGAGCATAACCATTTGGACATGTTGTACATATATGAGAACTTGTTTCACATGATGCACAATCAGATTTACAACGAACACATTTTCGAAGATTACGATCTTATTAAAGAATAAAATAATATATTATTAAAAATTTTGATTGACTTCATTTTCTTTACCCGTATAATAATTAGTGGGACACGACTCGGCACATATCATTGTATCATGTATAAGAAAGAAACCATATTTACAACTGACACAACTATTTTCACTATCATTACGACATGAACCACATTTTGAGTGGCAAGGTAAACATGATTTATCTGTTTCAAATAGATAAGTACCTTCAGGACATATACCAACACAACGACTAAATATAAAAAACATCATTAAAGTAAAAAGACACAATTAAGATAGAAAAATTTCTTTCAATATTTACTCACAACTTTCCATCCGTTAATGGTTGTTTATAATGTCGACATGCTGTACAACTTGTATCATTATTACCACATGGTTCTTTAGGATTACATTCGACATGACACTAAAATACACACATGATAGGTATTAGAGTTTTAATAAAATTTTTCAAGCAACTCATGCTATAAATTTCAAAGAGAACGATACATGAAAATAGCTATGCAATTTTCAATTAATTGAGAGAGCAAAGTAGAAGATAAGCGTGAATCTAATTACATAACTTTACTTAACACTTATTATTATTATTCACGTCATTTTATGATGTATAAAAATTCTATATGATAATTCAATGAATCCATAGTACAACAGCAAGCTAACTCATCATATTCTTAACATAAAACTTTTTTAAAAATCTTGTATCGTTTTCTCAATAATAATTAACAGTATTTCTGTGTCGATTTTTTAGCTTAAAGTTAAATTACAAGTGACTGTTCACTTTATTTAAAATAGAAAAAACAGTAACGATAGAAAAACAAAATCTATACAGAAGAAAGACCATGTATACTGAGAAGTAACAGAAGATTGTTCCTGTTCAACATTGATATGTATAGTAAGATAAAAGCAAGGCATTTTCTATTATAAAGAAGTACAACAATAATGATGTTCTCATAGCTAATGAACAAAATGCAAACGCTTATTACTCTTGTATAACTACAACTAATATATTAACAAAATAAGTTTGTAGAAAATAAATTATTATTACACGATAAAAACAAATTATAACTAACAACAATAAAAAATTAATAGAATAAATATCAAGATATAAAAATATGAATAAATCGAGGAAATATAATAAGCAAACGACAACCATAGATGGCTACTTACATTAGATTGATTAGTACCAGATGATGAATGAGGTGAGACTGGATAATCACGTGTACCATGAACGACAAGTTGCCAAGATATTAACTCAGCTAGAAAAGAAAAGATAGTTGTTGATTTCAAACAAACCATCAATATCATGAAAGTCAATACACTGTTTTTGTAAATTGTTTTCATAAAGTGAAACTCTATTGTATGCTTCCGAGGAAATCTTTGCAAGTTGAAAATCGCTTTTGAGTTTGTATTCTCTACATAAGACAGAGTTCCATAAAGCATTAAAAATATCAAAACAATAAGGATATCTGGACAGTCACTACATGATTATAACCGTTTCACTGTAATTTTGTCCTTTGATAGGCAATAGCTATGTAGTGAAGGTCTCAGATCCCCTATCATTTCGATACTTTTAATATCTCATTGAAGTCTACCTTATGCATCGGGCCCGAACTTCAAAGCAATTTTTAAATTGGCAAGGTTCCCTCGTCAGATTGTTCTTCTGCTATGCATTTCTGATACTAACGTGGGTAGACATCTTTCTATATTTTTTTTTGCAGCTCTATTGGATACTATTAAGAAAGATCGATATTAACATTTTAAATGACAATTACTACATGCTTCTCCTTTTCTTTCATCTAGTTTAATATACGTACTAGCGATTGTCGTAAAACATGCACTTTTCTCCTTCAACTTCATTTATATTCATCGATTCCTTACCTGATCCTCCACCTGTATTACATATTTGTAGTTTCCATAGTCCATGAGGATCTTCAAACCATAATTGTACTGTTAAAAAAGCCCAATTGCTAAAACCTTGATCACTGTGATCGTTAGCTCGTCTCTAAGTTAAATATATTAATAACATATCTTATCAAAATAACTATTGATCCTTACTGGTAAAATTGTTGTTTTTGTATTTGATGGTGAGTAAAGATAGATTTCTATTTCTCCTCGATTGGTCGTCGATAAATTTACAAATACTTGTACTTGTTCAATATAATTTACTTGACTTTTTATATTACCACTATTTTTACATTCCTTTAAATCAACAGAAAATGTTTCATTTGACTTTGACTTTATAGTCTTTTTTGGATTATAAGTCATTGATTCGCATGTTGACATAGGTGGAACATTTTTCCAACCGCTTGCATACCAAGTCATTAAACCAGCATCCATAAGACCAAAACCATATCTACTACTGACTAGAAACGAAGAAAAACAAGTCTTATAAATGACGATGAAAAAGAAAATAATTGTACCATTCATTCCAGCTGCATTTTGAATAATTTCTGTATTCGATGGAATAACATTTGAGCGAGAACCAAGAACTGTTATATACATTACATCACGCCATGTTAAATTAGGACTAATAAAAAAAGCCAAATTCATTTAAAATAAACAACAGTAAAAATTGAACGTAAGTACTTGGCTTCGAGAACAAGAGCATAAACAGCTGCCGCTAATGGTGCTGCTGCTGATGTTCCCGTATGATGACTTGTACAAGTATGATGCAAATCCGTAGTAATCTTTTCAAATAAAAAGAAACAGAAATAATAACAAAAAAACAAAAATAAAGATTGATAGCATACTATTTCATGATCGCCATTTCCTTGCCCACTGCTATATGCTGCAGCAAGAGTAGCTGAGCATTCTTCAAGATACCAAGGTACACTTCCCGATTCTGTTACAGAACTAACAGCAATCTAAAGAAAAAGTTTTCCTTTTATCTTTCGACAAGACACATCAATTTTCGTTTTTCCTAAATATTCGTTTTTGAAAACTCGACAATCATTTTATGGTGAAAGCAGTTCTTCAAAAAAAAAATACTTGGATAAAAGCTACCGCTTAGTTTATTATTACGTTTTATAGAGAAGTGTTCGCTCTACAAAATAACTGACTCTATCAATTTTTAACATGTTCGAAAAGAGACTTATATGGCAAACAAAAACGTATTTAGATTAATTGATTAATGTCGCACATAGTTTCTAAGCTCATATTCGAGAAGAGCATCCTAACTCATAGTTTATGGCTCGTCGAAAACACTTTTTAGCAGGTCAAATATGAGCAAACATATTGTCTAAAAATTATCTGATCATCCATTGTTCGAAATCAGTTATCATACCGTATAAATGGAAGTTATATAGCCATCACATGCACATGAGTCTGCTGAACGACCACCATTGCCACTTGCCCAAACAAATATTGATCCTTTTCCACCTCGACCCTATAATTCATTAAAAGAATAAAAATACAGAGTCTTTTCCAAAAGTCCGAACAAAAATAGAAGCATGAATGTGTCGTTAACAATTCAACTGATTGAAACAAAACTTATTATGATTATGTTAGACGCTTCTTAAAATTTTGTTGCGGATAATTTTATTTGTGCATGCTCGTCAAAGTGATCTTGCAGAACTGAAACATTTAAGTTCATTGGTGTCAAATAATTGTAGAAAAAAATCATTACATAGATTTTCTTGTAAAATCAATTTGTTTTTTTTCCAATTCTAATTCCTAGTGGGCATTCCGTGAATATTGTGTTGTATATGTTCACATGAAAAACAAATCGATCCATGTGAAGTGCAGTGAACGTAGAAGCCACTGAATCGAAGTATCTCTCGAATCACCGTATTACGAAAAACGTTTTTTTGAAAAACAAAGACTGCTCATTGTCAATATGCAAGGAGGTCATATTTTGTAATACTGTTTTTCGAGTTGTGACATATCGTTGAGCAATTTTTTGCAATAGACAAAACGCATGATATCAAAACACTTGTATAAACAACTTGGACTTCGTCAACTTGTTTTTTCTGTGATTATTTTATATTTTTGACAATTTTATCGATATGTTACAATGTCTATTTTACGAAAGCGTTGCTTTTTGTAATGTTTTCTTGTCAAATTCGATGGGTAGTTCTTGTTTTTAGGTGTCTGCAAAGCGAACTTCTAGTGAATTACTTTTTTACATATGGTTCGATAGATCTTGACCTGGTAACCAAGAAAAGTGGTTTTGTAACTCGTATAAATAAGTTTTTTAGGTTGAAAAATACCAAAAACTAAGAAGTAGTCGGCTTTATCAAAAAGAAAACATTGTTTTCAATCTTTGCAAAATTTTGTGTTCTATGTTTTAGTGAAACTCAGCAACTTATATTTTGAAATTCAGCGTCAACAACTGACTACAAGGCTAATATTAAATCAAATCTGATCGTAAATGTCTATTGATGGTGGCGACCCCCATTGCTTCTATTCGCATGTTTATAGGACGTTTCTATGAACCTATCTAGCTCTTTTGTGTAAGTGCTAAACAAAATATATTGTCTCAGTTCATTTATTGTACCAACAGCCATAAAAGTATGCATCGCTTTTGTATCTTTGACGAGAAAAATCATTTCTGTTCAATTTTGAGCAAAATAGTTAGAATTCAAGCCAGATTTCTCCATCAAAACTAAGCTTTCACGCATTAAGATTATCTTTGCTTGAAATTAACGTAAAAAACTGAATCGAGTGGTGTATGTTTTCTAAAATTTCGTTATCTCTCATTTTTGGATGAAAATTTTAGTCACCGCTTCGAGTAAAAATAGGAAAAAAACTGAAGTTAATCGAAACGATAAAAGTATACATCAGTCGATCCTGTTGTTTACGCTGATTGCGAATAGAACCAATTTAGGTCGACACTATCTAGAGTTTTAGGAGCAGATTCGATTTAACAACGGTTTTGTACTCAATTTTTGACGCTCAATTCGAAAAAATAAGTTGCAAAAGTTCAATAAAAAATACCGACTTCGTCTTAGTTTTTAGTATTAATCAACCTGGAAAATCTATTTACAAAATCTAACAACCGCACTTTCTTGGTGAGCTGGCCAAGCTCTAGCGAAGCAAATATTAAAAAAATACCTTACTTGAATTTTGCGTTGCGCGCACCTTATAAATATATGTAACTCAAATTTTACCCATGATAAAACTATTAGGCTTGTAAGATTGATAAATATATACATTTTATTTAGAAATATTCGTGTTTGTTTTCTTTTTGGTCTATTGGAACATAATGTGTAATATTTGAATTCACTTACATGTAAAGCACCATTTTCAAAAGCTTTTTTAGCTAATAAACCAGGTCCATCAACAACAAGACCATTATCATCCGGTCCCCTAAATTCATAAAATTATTACTCATATACAAACAATTCTAGAAAAGAAAAACATCTCATTTACCAACTAGCAGAATAAATATCGACATGATCAGGTCGATGACTAAGCGATCGTGCTTCAACACTATCTGTTACTTCACCATCTAACATTCGAATACCTCCAACTCTAGCATGATAAGCAATTCCAACTCCACATATTTGATTATTTGCTTTTGCTGATACTTCACCAGCACATCGAGTTCCATGTCTAAGGAACAAAAAAGAAATAAAAGTATTTTGTCTACGAAAATTGATTTGAAAATTATCTTCATACTTATTTTCATTAGTTGGCTCATAACGTGGTGTTGGATCATCATCATTACCATTGATATCTGTACTAGCTTCTTTATCCTATCGAAAACAAAAAATTAAAACATCAGTTTTAATATAAAATTTAAATATAAACACAAACATAATTTTCGTGTAAATCTGGATGATCAAATTCTAAACCATCATCAAGAAAAGTAACAACTCGTCCTCGTCCTGTACAACCCATTTGCCAAGCACCAGTTACATTTAAATCAGGTAGGGTTTGTGTACGTAAATGTCGCGTCTAAAAAAAATCAAACAAAAGAACTAACCATTTCATGAAATAAAATTTAATCTCACCAAATACCACATATTATTCCACTCGGGATCATTAAAAATAAATTCACGTTTTTGCCGTATTTTTGGTATTTGTCTTTCAGCCCATTCAACCTAAATTATGATCATAGAATATTGAAAATTATGAAATGACTGTTTCATCTTTTTATATACATGTTCATGATTAAGAAGAATTTGAGCTGGATCAATACCGTTTTCGATGGCTCGTCGATGTCGTATATGATTTTTAGATGATGGATCTTCTTCTAATTCACAAAAACCAACTAAAATCTTAAAAAAATACAATTTATTATGTTTGGTTTTTTTTAAATTGAATAATAAAAACCTGTCGAACATAACGATATCCATGTTCTTGAGCAATTTTATCACCAATTGTTTTACAATCACCTTTAACTTGAATAACAATCGATATCAAAGAAACGGAAGTTGATTTCGTTGTTTCAATTAATAAGAAAAACTGAATAATGGAAAAAATTATTAACCGGAACATTATTGAGAAGAAAAATGGAGATTATGTGAATAATTATGTTAATTACATCATTGTTATTGATGGAATCTAGTCAGATCTAAAATAAAAATCTCAGCATGTATGAAAGGTCGTTTTTACTTGATCTTTGGCAAAATAATAAACAATATATAATGTTTTATAGAAAAAAGAAAAAAAATACTTAACGATTGAGGATTATCTACGTCACTCAATCAATGCAAATATGAATACTCATGATTGCAATTAAAGTAGCAATACCGTATTTCTCGATTTATTAAGCAAAAGCGAATAAACATGGGAAGAACAACAAAAAAATTGCATTGGACAAAGTGCAAACTCAATCAACCGCGTATTGTTTCACTTGTACGAACGAAAAGAAAGCTAAACTACGTCTTATGCTTTAACGTGGATTAAAACTGATCTTTTTTCCTTTTGTTAATGCGTAGGTTTCAATTGAAAATGCACGAAATAGACGAATATAAGGATTTTGATAGGCGTTTCGAATAAAAACTGATTCGTTTAAATCAACATTATTTGCATATATACCTAGTATGTTGTATATTAATCAATCGTTCTGCTTCGTGAGTTCTATTACTTGTATTTCAATCTTTTTAGTGTCAACGTACTCATATGCTGTGTACCAATCCAAGGATCTATCGTTAAATTTTACATTAATATTTTTCTTTATTATTTAAAAATAATGAAGCATAATTTAGAGACAAACAAATATTACGAAATTGAAAAAAATTACGCCATCTATCATTTGAATTTTAAATTCAAATTCAGTTTATGTCTAAATTTTTGAGGAAAAATGTTTCTTTACTAGAAAAGAGTCGAACATGAATCGTAACTATGTATCTATGGATAATTGATTAATCTTAGAGGTCGCTGAATATCAATGAATATTTAATTTTATTTGTGTCACAAACTTTTAAGGTTTCTTATACTGAACAACTTTATTATTGACAATATCTTCACTGAATATCGATTACGTCCACAATATAAAGTTGAGCTAATGTTTATGTGAATTTCAGATTGATGCCTAGATGAACTATCAGATATGAAATACTTCGGACATATCAAAATCCATAGCAGTAGCACTATAATACCTTATAGAAGGATAGACGAAATTTTCTCTACATATATTAATAGTCCTAATAGTACTCTATAATATTTTATCATTCTTCAATTGATATGATAAGATAAGAATTTCGATCACAGCTATTCATCTCTACTTTAGTTGGTTAAGGAAAACTTTCAATACGACATCAAAGTTCAGTCTACACAGTAAGATTTGTATAGTAGAAAAATTTTATCGAGCACATAGACTTAACTTATTTTTTGTCAAAAGTGAATATTTTTCATTGAAATATTAGTCATAACATTAATAAGGCGGAAAATGAAATTTGAAACAGATCATTTTCGGTGGAAAAATTCTTGATGAAGACTCTCACTTAAAAGTGTCATGAAAATCATTTTTATTTGAACATTGACAAATTGTACATTACTTGGTGTAGTTTTTCATGCTAATTCCAAATATATCTTTATTTCTCTCACAAAATACTCGATGATAAAGAAAATGCGAAAACCCATAAAAAATCAAGGTTTTTTTTTTTTTTACAAATCTTGTATTTCAATTCGAAAACATTTGCGAAACTTTTACTAACTGAGTACATGTCCCAGATTTAGAAGAACATTCCGTGAAAGTTTTATCGATATTATATAAATGAAAAAAGGTGACGGTCAACTTTACTGTAGACATCTTTTTCGAAAACGAATAATTATTTTTTCTCAACGATAACTCATCTCATACACATCAATAAAGTAGAAGTCCTCGTTTCAACTTATATAAAGACTGCTCCGTACGTACCCACCTATTTTTTTAATCTGTACCGTATTTGAAGATGAATGAATATTGACGACATATCTTTTAAAGAGTAGCATCTAAACTATCATTCAAAAGATATCACACTCAATTTTCATCAACCCTAACAAAGTACGGCGTTAATAAGAATATTGAAAAAAATTTATCAAATTTTCCACTCACTTTCTGTATCAATATTTATAAATATGTCAGGCATTGTAATAGAAACGGGTGTTGAAAATGTTAAAATATCACAAGTGAATTAATCCGAGCGTTTTATATTATAGTAAGAATATAATTATCAAGACTTCGTAGAATGAGATAGAACGGAAAAAAATTGTCTTATGGGATAAGTTGTCACAAACTGACTCATGCAAGATGGGATAAGACGAATAATTTTCCGTCCCATCTTATCCATCTTATGGGATTCCACACTTATCAATTATCACAAAAGAGTTTCTGAAAATATCCATCGTTTTCTTCAATATTACCAAACTTTACATCATTTCATTTTGTATTTCATAATTTTGTTGTAGCGAACCAAGTTCAGAGTATCGTGACTGAGATATCTATTCTGTAACGGTTGTTGTAAACGACGTTTCTCCCATAGAATATTTGTTGTGTCCCATATGTACGCGAAAATAAATTTTCCTTTACTTGAATAGCATACAACGAGAATAGAAGAACAAAAGTAACTCACCATGATTAAATGAAAGTGTATCTGTTATTTTTTTATAAGTTTGATACCGAAAAATTTAAAACAAAGAGAAACTTGATAATTTTTTTTCAATTAAAATTTTTAATAATATAGCACTTTCTTAGGATTGATGCAAATTGAGTGCCATTCCTCTTGAAGAATACCTTAAACGCTACTCTTCAAAAATATATCGTCAATGTCTATTCACTTTTAAAAATGATACGGATTAAAAAAAAATGCGGTTGATCCTCATGAGAAAGAACATGCAAATTGTAGCTATATATTGTGGATCATTCGTTATATATATAGAGAGATGATTTTCTGAAGTTTTCTTTTTCGATATTATAGCTCTATTCTCATTAGTTTTGTTATGCTCTAAGTAGTGTGCCTTTTGCCGAAGCTATTGAGATAAGAAATTTGATTGTTAGGTTCGAAAATGTCTCTAACTATAAACATTATATGTTTGATATTTATGCAAATAATTTTAACAATCACTAAAAGATATAATACAGATGCAAAGAAATAAAATATTTTTGTTATAAATTATCATTCATGACAAAACTAGATAATACATATTATTTAAGGGAATGAGGACATGCAAACTACTAGAAGCAATTATAAGAGGAAAAGACAATTGTCTATACATGATTAGCAACTTTGACTTGGATTGTCTGAAACATATGTACCACTTTCACCGAGACTAGATGAACCACTACCAGCACCTGCACCTAGATCATCTTTACTTTGTCCTGAAGTATTTGAGCCTCTACGTGATCCACTTATTAATTGATCATTGCCTTCTGTACCATTACTAAACAATTAATATTTATTTAATTTCATGTATGAAAATCTGAAAAATATTTTATATTACCTATGAGGATCTGTGCTTTGTTTTGCTTGATTTGATGAGAGACCACTTTGATGACTTGTCATGTTTTATACAATAATAGTTAGGAAACCAAAAAAAAAAGACTGTGCTTTGATGCGTACGAATATGTACTATAAATACATGTTTATTAGCCATAATAAATGTGATGCAGTGAGAAAAAAATAGATATTTCATGGGAATGATCTATTTGTGAATATGCACTCATTTCTCTTTTCTTCTTGCTAATATTGAAAGCTAAGCACATTTATCATAGTAATGAATACACGTGTAGATTGTTTAGATAGTTTCTTTCATTAAACAAGAGGAATATACATCTATGATTTAGCAAATTATAGTTAACTTTACAAGAAAGACTTGAATGAAAATGTAATGTATCTTTTATTTTTCGATATATAATTGTCATTGATAATAATGACACATCGTTTCTTTTGGAAAAATCTGCTTATGGGTATACTAGATAGTTCAGAAGTCTTGTCTTGATTCATATAGGTTATTGTCTTAGAGTATAAACAGATATTTTTGGGATTGCGTTTACAGAGAAAATGTATTAAAAAATGTATTTTTTTTAAATTTTTTCTATATGAAAAAAAAATTTCAAATAAAATTTGTTACAATTAACGTTTATAAATTTGATCTCGATCGATTTGCATTGTTTGTTTCAGAATTGATCTATAGTTTCCAATAAAGTTCTATATAATCCTCACATGAAATTTGGTTTTTACTAACGAACGAATAACCCCAACTCACACTCACCGTTTGAGCTCATATGATGACAAATCTACTAGATTTCCGACTGATTTATCAGCAGTTCAGAAAACTCAAATCATGCAATTTTGTTCTAAAATTTTGCTTATGGTTATGCCTCATGACTCTTAGAGTATCCTGAGATTTTCAGCCTAAGAGAATGTTCCTTCTTTAAGATAGTGAATATTTAATAATAGTACTCTTTCATAGACATGTCACAAAACACGAGTTTACTTGAAAATCTAATGTTTCGACATAAAAACATTCTTTTCGACTGAAATTTTCATGATATTACAAGAGTCACTAGATCTACATATGAGCGAAATTTTCGATCAAAACTTCATGATCTAGTTTGTGGAATTCACAGAAACAGTTTCCTGAGAACAAATTTGTCCGTGGAGAGTATCTAAAATTGGGTCAAAAATTCAGTAAACCATTGATAATTTGACACAGAAACCCTCATACGGAACGATATAAGTTCAAACGGTCACTGTTAGTTGAGATAATGTCCTAGAAAGTAGCAAGTTACAATCAGAAACATCCTACACCCATTTATTGTGACGTATAAAAAACAACTCTAAAAGAACTAATGAAAAAACCATGAGATTTTTTTCATTTTTACATTTTTTAACAGCAGTCTAAGAGAATTTGTCTGCTTCGAATAACTTGAACAGGATCAACATCTGTCACATGATTAAAGATAAATAATGATGTGAATGTCAGTTTATCGATGTCATGAACGTGTTTTCAAGTTGACTGATAATATCTTCTTTTTGTTCTTGTTTTACAGATCGAAATTATTGTCATAGATTTTCATGAGAAATTTTTTTATCTTACAGGATTACTATTCGTAAAGTGATAATAAAGAAAATTATGCATCAATAATCAAAACAAAGCGATAGTCGTCATTGATATAGACCAGCAATACAGTGAACATGTACCTGTGCTTAGTTTTTTTTTAAATTTTATCAAACTAATTTCAACTATTTTGTATCTTAAGTTTTCCACTAAATCAGACCTGATTTTTAGTCTGCCGAATATAGAATGTGATCGGTCTTTCATTGGTTCGAATTACGACTACGCGATATATTATAGTTATATTTATCAATGTTTTTTTCATGATTGTTATGTGCAACACAACATTTATTAAATAATAAGAATGTGTGTTATAACTTTGAGACGACACTTAGAATCAGAATAGTATGAAGAACTACTGGCAAATACAGACAAATTATATAATACATATAAGAAAAAGTTTGAAGTATCGTGTGTTTGTTGTCTGACTATTGACATAAAACTTTACATTGAGGATCAACGTATTAGTGTCTTCGTGATTGAGAGATGGTACTAGTAGTTCCATGTATAGATTGCCACTGACCGCGAAACAGTTTAATGAGTTCCTTACGAAATAATTTACTTGACAATGTGAATAGATAAAAACTCAGGCATGGAACTGTAAGAGATACAAAACCAGTAATGTTGTATAATAAGTTATCTTTAGCTGATTGTAAAGCATCTACTATCATATTCGATCTTAGTGATGTATAGAGAAAATTTACTGCAGGAAGAGATCCTGTAAAAATAAACACAATACATTGAACAAGCATCATTTGAATCATTTGTCGGTCTATTGATTTTCGAGGTCGGTGACGTGGAATTTGGGTGTGGATATGATTTAGTCCAACGCGTCTAATCGATTGACGAATACTTTGAACAGTACTTAATCCGAAGAAAAGCATGAGCATCGGTGGAAATAAACTGAATGCAACAAGGTGCCATGCACCAAAAAATTGCTGATATATGCCTGGCATTGGAACACATGTTTGTTGTTGGATATTAATTCGAAAAAAAATTGGCACATGAACATATGCAAGACCAACGAGTAGAATTGTAAGAGGAATAGTTCGATGAGCAATACGAAGACTACTCAATGCACGAAATGAAGCAGATAATGAGCTGCATAGAAACCTATGAGAAAAAAAAAACTTACTTGACATGATCATTTGGTCTTTACACATCTCAATTGTTCTAAGAACTCTCTTAGTCAAGTTGTAACTCTTATCTTGATTTATACAGTTCGATGATGATCAAATTTAGAGAGAAAAAAGTTTGGTTGTTTGTACTGGAAAGGTCTAGCTTTTTGTAGGCAAGTATTATTATTTTGTTGATAGGTTACAGAAAACTAGAAATCAAAAATATATATGATCAAGTAGAAAACAAATAATGAGAATGGATAGGAATGGTGGGATGAACAACTATGTGTACGTCGACTAAAATTCTAACTATTTTTCATATACTTTTGTTATTTTTGCTTAATTCATTTTATCATCTATTTGATTCAAGGTGGGCGTGTGAAATATTTAAGAATGATCTATTCGAAAATACAAGAAGATTGTTTGAAAATTGGAAATTACTATTGTTGTATATGGCCAAAGTTTAGGTGATTCAACATTGTACTTTGCATTCTTTCAGCTAGTTTATTGGGGAATTACGCATTTTTGTTAAAAGCGCAGCTTTTATAGTAATTTTTTGTGTGAGAAGTAAGAAAACAGTAAGCATTTGTTTTTTTTTATTGAAAATCAGTTCGTTCAGGAGATTCTTCTAAATGTATCATAAATTTTAAACATTACTTTAGAATATCATCAACTAAAGAGACTTTCCTAGTGAATGCAAAAGTAGTATGATCGTCTCCTTCCTATTCTGAGAAGATTATATACTAACTATACATGCTCAATAGCTACTTGCTATTTTTCGTTATAGAAGAACCAAAATAGTGAACAACCAGATGTAGTACGGTAATGTATATGCAAAGAAAGGGACTGCGAATGATTTTCATTTCTGTTGTTACAGTCGTGTGAAATGATTTTCTGAGTTCGTTGTAGTTATTTCTACTTATCTTCAGGCACTTATTTATAAAACTTGCTCAGATTAATCTAGTTTCGATTCCTATACCTAAGAATTAAAAAGATTTCACAGGTTTGATTTTTGAACCTGAGAATTTTACTGCATTGTGAACGATGATTTGCTTTCGTTTTTGCTATATTCATAGGCAGCACACAAACGTCTGCCAATATCTCTAGGCGTTTTACTAATGATTTAGCTTGTGTCTGTGAATATTCAAGATTTGTCAGACAGTTTTAGTTCAAGTGTACTTTTAATTATGGAGATGAGATCATCAGCACTTTATAGGAATTTATTATCAAATAAGGAATGCACGTTCTCAAGCATTATTGTTATAACTAATGAACACACTATGAGCCTACGATGGTACCTTTTTTTTCATTATTCAGATCACCTTTTTTTTTTCAGAATAGCTAACAATCTTAATACACCTATCATCATCATATGTTCTTCATCTGCTACACCGCTAGTATCATCGCTGCTTCCCTACATCAAATATATATGATTAGTAGATAAAGTGAAAAACAAATTTTTAAGAGGATGATTACTAAAGAGAAAACAGTGAAAACATGAAACAAAAATTTAGGTGAAATATGAAATGCAAGAACATGTAAATGATATGGTATTATTATAATCGACCTCATATACAGATAGTGTATTAGATGAGAATAGAGAAGATACTGCTTCTTTGGTAAAAAAAGAACTGCTTTAAGTGCATTCAAGGGTAAATTCATGATTCTCATGCTTAAATATAATGATGTTTCAAAATGAAAATTCATCAGCTCAAATCGAAGACTTATTTCAGAGTCTAACTTTGCTTCAAATTTCATTGTAATTCTACTTACCGATCAATAGATGATAGAACAATAAACCATGCATATAGTGCTCTATGAAAACAAAAAAAAGAAATATGTTAATTGATAACGTACAATTTCATTCATTACCTATTCCACATAAAGAGCAATGTCAGAAGCTTACACACCGTCAATGATTCTACGTAAATATTGATTTTATATGCGGCTTGAAGAAATCGCAACAATACATTGATGGTAATAACACAGATACCGCTTATTGTTGCTGCCAAAAAATAACATGAACATGGATTCGAACGAAGTGATGAACGGGTGAAGACACACATGTTCAATGTATGGCCAATGAAACCAAGAACAATTATTAAATAACACCAAATATTTACAAACTTAATTGTAATTTCATTAATCTTAGCAACTTCATCGACATTTATATTTACTAAGGACATGTTTGCTGTCGAAGGATGATCGTTAATAATAAGAATATGATGCGAAGACTATTCTAGAAAAAATGCTCTCCATAATAACGACATATATTCATTCTACATTATATATATATATTCAAGTCTTTCGAATGCATAAGTTAATCA